AAATTTGTCTGTAGAGATACGGTAAGTTTACTGTAGGGCTGACTAGCGCACTGAAAACAAACGAAACCTCGGAATCGAAAAACTAACCAAAGAAACTATCTATATTTACCGTCACCAAGTATGTTACCGTAACTCAGAAGCCCTTGAGTAAAGAGAAGGAGTAAAGAGATAAAAGAAACGAAAAGGCTAGTAAAGATACATTTTGCAGTGCTTAAACCACATAGAAGACACTCATGCATCGCATCGTACGTGCCGCACAGATACGGTAGCATGATGCAAAAAGGCCGATTCTAATTTTCGCCGCTTATTCAGTGCAAAAGTGCTACGGGTTTCATCATCGAAGCGATTGTGAATTTGCAAACTTTATTATTGATTTTTTCAACGTTTGTAGAAGCTTATGACTTGAAAAAAGTATTTTTCCAACCTGTATGATATCCTTTGTACAAAGGAATCTGTTGGATATGAATCGGTTGATCTGAGCATCCATCGCATTCGGGAATACAGTGCCTAAAATGCCTTTCTTACGGTAACTTCTCAAATAGAAGCTGACTCTACCTATTGTCCGAGAGCGAATAATTTTCTGGACACGGATTAGGAATACAATGGAAACTTCCCAAAGTGTTGAGACACATCTGTTCAGCGGAACAGGATATCAAATCGCACTCATCGATGTCTGAAAGGTTGATGTACTTGTAAACGACGAGAATCTGAAAAACCTACCAAAGCACTGATAATTGTTGGAAAGTTCGTATCCTGGAGGGCACAAGCAGTTGTATGATCCGGGAGTATTTTCGCAATGATAATCACATCGATCAGCTAATTCGGCACATTCGTTTATGTCTGAAATTAATGGTACAGACAGTTACAGATAATTTATATAACCATGCAAATTTGATACTGTACCTTCACAGTGAGAACCCGTCCACCGATATCCTGGTAAACAACGTCCTCTGTGGTGTTCCTTCGGTGAGATGTGTGTTTCATCGTCTTAAAGATTTTCATAAGTATTGTGGACAAATATGTGACGATTACTGGTTTCAGGGAGTGTGCTTCGAAATTATTGAAAGTTCTTCACATTCATAGAAAATTGGTAATGGCACACTCAATGAAAGTTCTTGAAAGAACAACTTTGAAAAAGGAACTGATCAAAAGAAGGATAAATTTCCGCACTTTTCCGAGATCATATTGACACAGGGTCATCCAGCTACCATGTTAGCTCTATTGTTTCCGGATCTGAGACCAACTTACATACCTAGGGTAGAACGCTTTATCGACCAAGGCGGGGGACGAACTTTGGTCCCGCTGACCATGGCAGCGACTCATACCTTTACGCTACTTCCCCCACCGCCTTCCTCCCTATCCCCAGAAATAGAAACATTACAAATGATACTGCTAATAGTGCAAAGAACAGCGTTTGGACGGAGGTAGACTTTTGGTAAAATTTATTTCTAAAGTTGGATTTACAGTAACAGTTGGGGTTTTTATGACTTTCTCTTACTATCACATCAATTTTTTCGAAATAAAGCCAACCATGACGGAAAGACAAGGATACTGACATATGCACTGGCCATCTTGGTAACGGGATCCATGTGGACATACTGAGTCAGTATCTGCCAGAGCGTAATGCAGATGCTCCGAATCTCCATCCGTGTACTCATAATCGCCGGATCCCTCCGTCAAGGGCTCAGTTGTTGTAAGTTCTTGTATAGCACTGGTTGTTGTGGTACTGCTGGTAGTGGTGGCAGCGGAGGTGGTGCTGGTGGCGGCGGTGGTAGTGGAGATGGCGGAAGTGGTGGAGGTGGCGGAGGTTGTAGTAGACGTCGTCATCGGCGTCGTCATCATCAAAACTTCTGCAGGAGTAACAGCTGGATGAGACGTTGACATAGTGATTTCATCCTCAGCGATGTCGGTGGTTGGTTGAAGAATAGCTTGGGTGGTGGATGTACCGACTGCCTGATTATTATTGGATTCTCCTGAACTTTCTTGCTCGGAAGCTTCTTCGGAAGGCATCGTTCTCATCGTGTACGGCTCTGAAGCTTCCGAAAGCATCGGCGATGGATCTACAACATATCTCGCATCAATGAAAGAACCGGACAATAGAATTGCAACCTACCTTCCACAACTACTTTGGCTTGATCGTAAGCACTACCTATAGGGCTGATCGCTATACATTTATACAGACCAGTGTCAAACTCCTCAGTCGTTGTAATCAAAAGCGTATTGTTGGGCTTAAAACGATTAATTGGAGGCAAAGATAGTGCAAGTGATAAACTTATTACCAATATTTGTACGATTTCATCTGGAATAATTTTCTGATCGTTTTTGGTCCACTCGATCTTTGTGGTGAGTGGCGATCCACTGAGATTGCAAGACAGTTGAAGTGTGTCACCAGGAACAAGTGAAAGCTTTTTAGGTTCTACATTCACTACGGGTAACTCATCCTCCAGTTCTACCTAAAATGCAAAATTTTTTTGAATGCAATTTTCGTAAAGAAAAAATATTACTGTGTATGCAATACTCGGCTTTCTGCGTCCACGAACTTTGCACATGTACAATTTCAGATTGTCTGCCTAAAACACTGCAGATTTGAGAAAAATTACAACTACCGTATGCCTACCGTATCAGCATCAATGTCGGTAACTATCAAACTTCCGTTGTTCATGAAATGGAATCCACCCAATGTGGGATCAAGGGGTCTAGACTGGAAAAACCAAGTGACTCCTCTGGTGTATGGGCGGTGACGACCCAAGCATGTCAGCACAGCCACTTGACGTTTCGGCGGTGCTGTCGGCTCCGGTGTTGCTTCATTGTCCACTTCAAGCGTTGCTATCGTCTGTAATTACAGATTTCACAAAACATATTTGCATTTGTAGTCTAGTAGCTTTACTAATTTGTAGTCCAGTAGCTTTAACGCCCAAAGTAGCGCTTTTGCGGTGTGAACAACATTTACGCGTAAAGAATGACTATAGAGCTCACTCATTCGGGAAGGACCCTTACGCCAAACGCGCAAGTCTGTCTTCTCGCAAGGGCACTGTGTTAACATTTCGACATTTGTAGTCTAATAGTTTTACGCACAATATGGTGCTTCTGCGGTGCCGACAACAAAAGCGCGGAAAAAATTGCAATACTTATTGCCGACAATACTTACGCATAAAGATGACAGTAACCGCACTTTCAGTTCTTGCGCCCTATATTTATTTTTCACGCGCAAATGTTGTCTTCACCGCAGACAAATCTTGACTATGGTGATGTTTACAATAACCTTCGTTATTCCAATGCTGTTCCTTGCGTGACAGGTATAGTTGCCAGCTGCATCCTCTGTTACATTGATGACAAGGACCGAGTACGCGCTTTCAGGAGCCTTCCATCTGATTACTTCCCCGTTTTTCAGCCAATGTATGTAAGGAACAGGCGGTCCTATGGCGCTGAAATCGAAGCGAATATCATGAAATCTTCTAAACAATGTTTCTGATTTGTGATAACCTGCAGTGAAATTCCACTTCGGATCCAACGGGTGCTTTCTGGTCTTGTGGTCTTACAAGAAATGTCGGGGCTACATGCAGTTTTGCCTAGATGTTTTCATTTATAGGATGAAAACTATCTTTCAAACTTACAAGTCTTGGAGTGCGAGGTCCAGGAATGCATTTATAAACCACACCATTCGTTCCATTCAGGGACCAATCCTATAAGCATGAGGTAGCTTTGCAGCAAGCAAAGAATGCATTCAATCCTTAAGGGTGTGGCTTTATTCTGGGCACAATCTATTCCTAGAACTACTATAATACGGAATAGAAGAAGCTTAATTGAATTCTATAATTCGAATTTCTTTCATTTGAGTAGTTTAGACGTTTCTTCCCAGAAAAAAATCAATATCATTATATGAATAGATTATGCTATTACGTCAAGAAAGAAGAACCGACCACTTTTTCCTTCCAAGGTAAAAGAGTTTGATCATCGTCGGGCACATCACCGCGATTCTGCATATATGTCGTTTTAACAGGTCTATTTTCCTCATCGCAATCCACCCAAATCTTAGGTTCGCCTTCGCTGTCACTAAGTAATCATGCATGAGTCCAATATTTTGATTGGATTCCTTGAAAATGATTTATGCTTTGCTTTCGCAAAAATGATTTGTACTTCTTCCTCGTAAGTACAAATCATTTTTGCGAAAGCAAAGCATAAATCATTTTCAAGGAATCCAATCAAAATATTGGACTCATGCATGATTAACGATATGACAGCGAGCATCCAAGGATTTTCCCATTTAGTACAACTTGTAACTTCTAGTTTGTGCTTAGTTTTTGGAAAAGACTATGAATTCTTGTTCTTGTAATTTAAACACATCATTTTTAAGGACCTTAGGTTTCTCAGAAGCCTACAAAGCTTAATACGACAGCACATAGTACGAAACCATATCTCCTAATTAATCTTTTTGCCCAATCATGAATCAACGAGGGTTAGTATATAAATCATTACAACGCTAGAAAACATTCAGACTGTCTTCTTTAGTCGTGATAATGCACGACGTAAATCTTCGGCTTATGCTTGTCATCACATTTTATCAAGTCCTCAAATACTGCTTTGAGTCGGAAAGAAAGTAATGCAGCTTTTTCAGGGTTTTATGCTAGTACGAATATCTCTCGAAATTCACATACAGCTGTAGCGGTAGAATCCGGCCAAAATTGCGCGATTTGAGGGGTTCGCGGGACTTGCGGGATTTAGTTATAACTTTTTCTAAAGCAACTTAATTTGTCATCTGCAAGAAGACTTGGCTTCAGCTTGATGAGACGAATCTTTCGGTATACATTATGCCCGTTTTCCATGGTGCATTGTATTATATTGGCATACTTATGAGATTATCAACATGTATAGCTGCTCATATGAACAAATTTTGAAAATAACAAGTAGTATCATATGTCTGCCTTATCACCATGGATTACGGGCATAGCAGATTTCAAATAAAATTGTTTTAGAAGAAATTATAACTAAATCCCGCAAATCCCTCAATTTTGGCCGGATTCCACCGCTACAACTGTATGTATAATTGAGCAAAAATATACAAAATACGATGACTTCAAAGTATTCAATCTGAATCTGCTGTAAAATTGCCAAGGAAGTCATTTTTGGTATTTTTTCACGATTCCTAGCAATAAATTCTATACAGTATATGTAAAAATGTGGATATATGTCTTCTTGTGCATGAAAGTTGTGAGGTTCACATTTTGAGGATTGCGTTTGGGAAGAAAAGGGGAGGGGAAGGGAGGGCGAAATCAAATTTCTCACAGATGATTTTTGTGAAAGTGTTTTTGATTTCTGGCTTCAAAATTTTATAGACTTTTTTGCCCTTTCTTTTTCGAATGGTACACTTGTTAGTATTCACATTGGCGCAGCTTTAAGAAACATCATTATCCTTTTCTCCTACTTTTCGTTTGTGATGTAATATGATCATGCAAATGTAGGATAACAATCATAATGAATTAATAAATAGGTTGGATTCCAAAGGTGACTAATGTTTTTGCTTCCCTGCTATTTTCTTGCCCTTTTTGAATTTACAAATTTCGCTTTTTTCTATTTTCTTCGCTTAGTTGAGCTTACATTAGGTAGTGTAATCTAAGAAATCTTCGTTTAGTTGCGCTTACAATAGGTAGTGTAATTTAAGAAATCTTCTATATGCAAATGCAAAGCGCTCGACAGCCCTTTAGCCTGTTACGCAAAAAGGTTTTACATTTCGACTGGTAGAGGCTAAGGGAATGATTGGTGCACTCATTTACAAGGCCTAAAGGCAGTGCCAGCAAATCTGGATAACCGAATTTCTCTTGTGAAAACTGCTTAGAAGGCTTTTAGTAAGCCATTTCTTAAGCGGCAGATCAAATGTATTATTGATGCTAAAAAATTTAGCGTTGAAGGCAGTGGCTCGGAAGGTGTGCAACTGCGGGCTCTTCACACTCATATGGATCCGCTAAGACTGGAACCGTGCTTGAAAAGTCAAAAAAGTCTTTTCTGGTTGAGGGGGCTAGACGAGCGACTCCCGCCAAAAATAGCGACTGGCTACAGGAAACTGTAACTCCACCCATTTCGGCGGCAGTTGGCTGGTTGGCCCAGGCAGCCAATCGCGACTCAGTAGGCGATCGCTCGCACATCCCCTCCAGCAATCTCCAAGACCTGAAAACGTCATGGAAAGCACCTTTTGACTTTTCAAGCACGGCACTGGACTCAGCGCATCCAGAAAGCCAAGGAGGGATGGAAAGCTCGCAATCGCAAAATCCCGAGCCACTGCCTTCAAACTCTCTGAGGTACCTTACCAATCTGAGTAGTCATGATCGAAAAGAAGCTAAGCTTGTTTTGGTTATCATTAGAGTTCATCCTCATTGGTCAAGACTACTCAGGCTCTGGAAAAGCTAAATAAAGCTTTTGCAGAACTTTTAACATATGCTCAGCCTCTTTCTGCATTGAAATGTTGAGCTTTGAACCTGCGAAAGGCCAGGCATAAAATCTAGCTTTCTTTTTCAGTTTTTAAAGATTCCAAAACCTGCGCTAAACTGACAATATGGATGCTTGCTACTGAGCCGAATAACACATGAACATCAATAATGACAAATGTGAATAGAAGACAAATCGAACCATTCTTTCTTGCTGTTAAAAAACGTCACAAAGATAGAATCGCATCTCAAATAAAGCAAGAACGGTAAGTCATGCAAAACATTTATATTCACTCAATAGAAAAAGTTAAGAAGAAAAGCATAGACAAAATTATTGTTTAACGCTGAACATCCATACAGCAGTGAATGATAAAGTGGTTCAATCTCAATAAATTAGTGTTGTGAAATTGTGTAACAAGCTCAACAACTCGTGTGTGTGACATAGTTAATAAGCGTAAGAAAAAAGCGTTAGAATAAGCTCTTTCAAAAAAATGCGATGAAAAAGAGAAAATCTCAAAGAGTTGTGACAAAGAGTCCTACAATCTAGCGTTTCCGATATGAATAAGTCTTTCTTGTATCGCTATTCACGAACTCACGATCGACAAGCAGACGACGATTTCCGATCGCTTGACCGGCTTCGCTTTTGGCAATACAATGATAAAATCCGGCATCAGTTGGTAGCACGTTGCGAACAGCCAGCGACGTTCCGATCAGTTGATATTCTAAAAAACAAAATTTATTATGGAAAATCAATTTGATGTTGTTCCGAAAGAACTGCATGTTATTAACACGTTGACGACGAGCCATTTTTTTGCGGTCTGTCCCTGTGGACGAGACGTTTCCATGCATTCCTACGCGTGGCCCATGTATGTATGCATGCATCCATGCACGAAGTACAAAATGTGCAAGCCCCGCCCCCTCTGGCAAGCTCCGCCCACTCGACCAAAAATGTCGGAAATTGCCCAAATTTCAAGAATTTATGCGATTTCCGCCACTTTTGAAAAGTGGGCGGGGCTTGCCACTCAGGGGGCGGAGCATGCCTGACGGTGGGCGGGGCCTGGCTAGAAGTTGCTTGAAGTCTTTGCGTTCATCTACAGCCTCATCCATGCTTTTGTGGACAAAAAGGATCCTTGTAAGAGGCATAAAAGTGGGCGGAGTTTGCCAAAAGGGGCGGGGCTAATACATGAAGTACATCTGAGCCTATGTTGATTATATGAACAAAAACTGAGAGGATTGGACAGATAGTATTGAATTTAAGGCCGCCGCGCACCATTGCGCGGCGTCGTCCACAGGGACAGACTGCCTGCCGCGCACCATTGCGCGGCACTGTCGTCAACGTGTTAAAGGTTCACTTCAAATTTTTCTGGGAAACTATTTTTCATGAAGATTACTTATACCGTTTACGTTCCTATGTTCTTCCCATTGTCAGGGCCGCGTCGCATGCCTCTCGCGCGCTTGCGCTGCCTTTGGCGCGTCTTCAAAGCAATCATACTCAGGGCTCGGCACGAGGTGGCTAGATGAAAATGCAAAAAACGAAGTCCCCCTTGACTTTTGGGTATTTTTACGAAGTCCCCTTTGACCCCCCACCATATTCCCTAAAAATCCTCCAAAAAACGAAACGTCGACTGAAAAAAAAACGTCGATAACGATATCCAGCTTGCTTGTAAGCCACCTCGTGCCGAGCCCTGATCATACTTGGTGCTCATGTGCAATGCATCAAAGGCAGAAAATGGATGTGTTGCGGAATTAGCCGTAAAAAGATTTTGGGAAGACAGACTCTATCATCCTAAAGCTCTTTTTCTTCTAGTTTTCGGAAGTGCTTTTGTTCTCAGAGCGTTTAATTATTCTATAGTTCCCCAAGTCAAAAAAAAAAAAACGAAAGAAAGTGTTGGTTTTGATTTTGCTTTGATTTCAGGCTCATGCGAGGATTGGCATTTTTAGAAACAGGTATAACGTTTGCTAATGACGACAGCTATTAAATGCTCGTCGAGATATAATTTTTGAAATATTTCGAACTTAATAAATGAATAAATAAATAACATTTTTACCATAGCCTGTTTCTTTTCACCATAACGTCTTTTTTCCTAACTTTCTCTGTTTTTTAATTTTTTGACCCTTATGGGAAGCACAAAAATCATACGAAACATCACGGAACTTTTGCTCTATGCTTCTCAACGAGAGTCAAATCAAAACATTCAAAGCCTTGTTCCAGTTTTCTACAAAAACTTTTCATGAAAGGTCTGATGGAATCGAAGGTAACTTACTGCTTAACCGAATCGCACTACACAACGGGCAAGATTTGTACCAACTTACTATTTTCAGAATAAGTTATGGTCTCTCAAAGTGGGAGGTCCTTTCAACATTAGATCCGTCTCTGATTACTGTCCTTTCTAGCCTTTTTGAAATACTTTGTCGCAAAAGCGTAAACGCGCGCGAGTGTGCTAAAAATGACGTCGAGCGAAATTGGGACGCAATTTTTTACGACTCACTTAATGTTTTACAATCTTGCTTTTGCGCTGCCAGAGTCAATTGCTACGACTCGTTCGACTCGGACTGCCCTCATAATGCTCATAGTTCCATATGATTAAGAATGCTTATGTCTCTTTCCGTTGCTTAAAATACTCCAGTGGGGAGATATTGCTATTAGTGATGACACTGAGCTATGATTCATCGCAAAACTTTGGAGCCTAAAACATCTTAGAAATGCATGCGAAGGTTCCTGTATACAGCTGTGAGACGACATGTTTTGGCTGTGAATTTCAGATTTGAGGAATATCACCTATTTACGCGTTAACGTGTCTAAACTCCTTGCTCCTCTGAAATATCTATCAAATCCTTGGTGTCGACGAATGCTTTAACTTTAAGGGCAGCTAAATTGAGGGTTCACTCAACCTCTTCCTTTTATAAACTCTGTGTTTTTTCCAAGCCTTTTGGCTAATTTGTAAACGCCATGTGGTAGAGTAGGTAGCGCATCAAAATCCTGAGAATTCGCAGTCTTCTCTGAATTCAGTGTAACCGCTCGGTATGAAATAATTTAGAGAAAGGAAACCAACCATTATCTGGTTCTGAAAGTATCTTTGTTTTCATATGCGGCAAGAAAAGCTTTTAGAGACAAACACTTGGATTTTATTCTTTTGTTCTTTGCTAAAAGTTTCTCCAACAGCATTTAATTCTAATTTTCTTTTTGTCAACAGCTTCTAAAGTTTACTTTTGGGTTTGGATTCTGCGACTCAAGCTTTAGACTCACATGAATTCATGCTAATCGGTAGATTCTGTAGGTTATAATCCTCGAACCTTTTTTTTAACTTTGATTTTTTCAGAGATAATTTTCTATCATATGTATCATGAGGTCTGATGATTCCACAGGGTTTCTCTAGAAATTTATTGAAGGTTTAATCCCTAATAACTTTTTTGCATGACAGGCTTCGTCTTCCTTTGAGCGCACTAGAGTAGAGGCTTCAAGTTAGATCAACTGCATGGAGTAAATCACCAGTCTCTCTTGATTACTGTAGGACTACGTTAGGAACTTTCGGCTTACAGCGTCATTGTTTGTTAGCCATGTTTCAAAAAATGATTTAAAAAACTGAAAAAGTCATGTACCAGAATTTTCACGCGTGCTTATTTTATTACTCAACTTTTTACAAGCTTGTAAAGCTTTTCGATGGTGTTATCACAACTGGGAGTATTGTAAAAACAGGTACTGCGGTTTACTTAGCATAACTTATGATCGAAGCATTGTGGTAAAGTGCAAAGTTTATATGTAGTATCAGCGCCTTTTATTAGCCCAGTTCAAATTGTTCACTTTGCATTCAGAGATGATTTAAGGCCCTCAATGGCTCAAAACCTTTTTCAGAAATCCTTCTGTTATCTTACAGTAATGAAAAACTACGATGGTTCGCTCCGTACTATAACTCTAAGTACAAGCCAGCTCTACAATTATGCTAAAGAAACCGCAAAAGCTTTTTATACAAGGGTTATTACAAACCAAACGTATGACACACTTTTTTGGGACACGTTGTAAGTATGTATTGTGATAATAAATGGATCAAAACTATTTCTTGCGGTTCATGAGTAATTTTCTACTTTTGATGCAAGACTTAGATTCCAAGTTAACAGCATCAAGTACGGGCCTTTTTATCACTCATAGAAAAAACAGTATCAGAAGTTGATATTTGGCCAAATAGAAAAAACTAAAGACTTCAGGATGTTTGCCTTCGGGCTAGGCTATCCTGATCGCATACGAAGGCTCATTTCTTTGAATAAATCATTCTTCCACAAAACTCCAGCTATTTCTTCACTATGAGCTAGCGATTGAGCTTGAGTCATTTCGCATCTATTCTAGGAACCTAAAGCTTACAACAAAGAGCAAACCATTGATGACGTATCGATAGCATTTCTTAATGACGCTTTCCTTGTGCCTGGGGCCCGCGAACAATAGAAAATAAAGTGGCCCTTGATAATTTGTAAACAACCTGATAATCCTACAACAAAAGACTTGAGGTGTGTCAGGCAACATATTCATGGTTCACAACCTCATTTTCTCACCGTTCTAAAAAAATGAATGCTATTCTTCGAAATTTTTGAAGATTTCGGGATTGGAATGCAAAGCAAAGCAGCATGTTTCTTACAATTAGCGCTGGGCTAGGTTTATTTGATTTTGTTAGAGAGGTTTCCTATATTTCCGATGATGGCGTCAGCAGAAAGATTATTTACAATTAACATTTAATGGCCTCCCTAAGGGATAGCTTTAGCTATAACCTCTTTACTCATATCCAAGTGCAACACTACGTTTAAGTGTGCGAATTGATATTACTAAGTTTCTCTACATCCGTAGACAAGTGAAGGATCTTGTTTTCAACCAAAATGTACTTTTCTTGGACTTTTCTAGAAAGAAAAAGTTGCTACGTTTGAATGCATTAAGTTATCCCCTATGGAGATTGCGAATTTCATATTATGACAAGAATTCTGTTGCTAACTAATCCCACCATTTTGCTAAACATCGCTAGTTATGAAATTCATGAATGTCGATTTTTTGCGCAGAACTTGGAATTTTCTTTATCCTACAATTTTCCATTACGCTTTTATTAATTGGAAAAAAGGAAACTCACTTTCATTCGCTTCGATCTGGATATTCGGTGCCTTTACCCATGACACTACCGGTTCCGGTATTCCTGTAGCATTACAAGGCAATATCACAGTTTTCCTCGAATCCGCAGTCACATTCAGCTTTTCTGGTTGGATTGTAGGTTTAGCTGGAATTGTATAAATAGTTAGTGCTAATTTCTGTCCTATAAGTTTCTAATAATGACACTATTTCTTGGAGCACATTTATTTTGAGCATTTGTGAGGACAGGGCAAAGTTAATCTCGTCTTGCCTCATTGCACCTCATGTCTCGGGGCTGCTAAAGTCCTAAGAAGTTATTTACTATTATCCTACTTATTTTCACACAGCTGCAAGGAAGAAGCAGATCTGACAACTATTCGCTATTTTCATAATTTTCACATAGATTCCAGCAACTTTCTTTAGTAGCCCAACTTTTAAGCCTCAACTCATTACTCCCTTGGTGACGTAGGGCTGTCTTATTACATGTTAAAATTTTTCTAGCTGAAAAGATTTTGAAGCCACGAGCTCAATCAGACATAGTATTTATCAAATTTTTTTTCATACTAAAAATTACAAAACCAGTTGTTAATGTAATCATAAGCGAGGAAAATGAGAATTTTACAAATCTACACGATTTCTAACTTCTTGTAATGCCCATTTTTTCAAAAAAAAAACACAAGATGTGCATTTCATCAAGGGCAAGTTTCCGCACGATGTTTGGGAACTTTTTGTGTAATTACAGGCAAAGAAAATAAATGAATCTTGTATGTACACGACTTCCACCTTCTTGTAAAGTCCATCAAAGTGTCTTGCAAAAGTTTCTTCTCGTTGTTGTTAATTTTTCAAGCCTTTTCTTATATTCTTTAACTTGATTGCAAGTAGACTAGCAAAAAGCGATCCTGCCCAGTTCTCAAGTAAGGACCATGTCTAAACACACAATTCTTTTGATGATTAGCTGGCAACAGAAAGATCAGAATGCGCTTTGAGATGCTAGTTTCTAAATTTAGGTCTAGTACATATGTGCTAGACGGTCCTCTTAGTACAGCTATAGACGGTTGCTTGCACTCAAATGGTACGGCAGACTTTCCCTAGGGTAGCATGAATCCGTAATTGAATATGAAATTTGTCTCGAGGTATTTTCCTGTGTACCATGTGAGAAAGTAAACTGTAAAGAATTCAGAAGTTACGCGGACAATAAGATCGAATGTCAAACTATTTATACTACTGCTATTTGAAACCAAAAGCATCTCGAGGCGGTCTTGGAGTGTACATTTGATGGGATAAGCTATTTTTAGACATTTACTTGTAAGCGCAATGCTGAATACTATTAGGTCGTTAAACAAGTTTTGTCACACTTCATTTGTCTTCATATGAGAAACTCTAGAAAGTCAGACAAGCCCTCATATCTGGCATAGATAAGGAAGGGACACTGACTTTTTCATTTACATCATTTTCATCATCACGACCTTAGGTTACAGTGAATAAAAAGGCAATTTTGTAACGGAACTTCGTCCTCCGTTTCTTTCCTACCTTGAAAAGTTCTCTCCCTTATCTTTTAACTTTTAAATGGATTTCAGGGAGTACTAGTACTTGTATGAAGGCAATCTGAAGATTTAGGCTCTTTAATAAGGCATACTAAAAATTTACAGAAATTTTAGTAAAACTTCGGAAAATTTTCCAAAAAAATAAAAAAAATTGGATCGAAATGCTACATCGCTTCATGTAATTTGAAGGTGGAAATTTTTACGAAGAGCTAATGAAGATGTCTTCAAGTATAACAAGAATCATGTCCGACCTAATAAAGCAGTAAGATTTACTTTCTGTTAGCAGGCGAGTCTGCAGTAGCAATGTTTTTATTATCTCGTGTTATTTAGATATTTTGTTAGACTTCAAATTTAGAGGGTTTTGGCGCGATCCGTTGCCATAGTTTTGTTATTTATCTGAGTAATACACGACATTACCGCACTTATATATTGTACCTTCAAGCTCACATCCGCGGGTTCGTGCACTTATCCGGCAATATTTTCCTGCACTTTTTGCATAATTTTTCATGGTTTACTTACTGATTACGACAAGGTCGAAGTCCTTTAAAGTTGTTCCGGCCCAATTTTCCGCTTTACAGGTGTAGACGCCAGCATCGTCAACGGACACATTGTCGAATAATAGCGATTTCCGGTGTGTAGTGCCTCGATCGTCGAGTGCAGCTAAAAAGAAAACTTAATTGAACTTGCTAGTTCTAATTATATCCACAACCAAGTGCGAGAGCCTTCAAATGGCGTCAAAGTTCTTAGCTTGATAAGCTTTTTTGTGCTTGTACTTTGGATTGTGACGTAAAAAATTTTATGCATTATTTAAATGCAATAATGACCAGCATACCGAAATGGAATAATGGTTTTTAACATAATGATTACATAGAAAAGTACAACTACATCTCAAGCATATGATCGAATAAAATAACCTAGATAGCCTATTCTGGTCTCAGGTGCTTAACTCAAGGTTCTTATACCTTGTATTTCACAAAATCTTTTCTGCATTTCAATGATTCTATAATTTTCTTTTGAAGAAGGCAAATAGTTAGGTTGGTTCATATATTTTACACCGAAATTTTAAAAACGCAATTGCCTAGTTTCTAAAATTCGTTTGATATGACATATATTAGAAACAAAAATCAAATTATATGCTTTGTCAAGGAGCAAGATACAAAAACCTTTTTCAGCTTATCACTACAGTACAGGTAAGGAAAGATACAGGAATTGTAATTTTTTTGAATTTCGTTCGCTATATTGCTCAAGGGGTCAGAATCTAATATTAGTTTGTTATTTTTGTGATTTGCTTGTTTCAACTGTGAGAAGTTCGTTTGGATCGAATGTCAAATAATTATAAATTTCGACTTTTTGATTGAATTGATTTCAAAGCTGATTTTATACAAAAAAATCTTTGAAATGAAGAATGAATCATTATATATGACAAAAATTATATCAAATTAATCAAAACTGTTTTAACCTCTTTTAAACAAATTTCTCATACTTTTCTGGTGCAACATTTATGGATCAAACCAGTACAATCATGAGTAGGACGATATCTTGCGAAAGAGCAATTTTTGCAATTTGAGCAACTTTTTGAGTGAAAATCCTTACTAGAGAGCTGGGAATTATTTATTATTGCGATCAACATCCTTGGTAACATGACACACGCAATTTATCTGTGCATCGTCTCATCGATCTCTCTCCAAATTGAAAAACTTACTATGTATTCGCCATGGTTACAATGCCCAAGAAAAGAAATAGGACTTGAAAATCATCAGAAAACTTACTATTTGTAAGAATTTGATCATCTCTCATCCATGTTATCGTCGGTGGTGGGACGCCTGCTGCTTCACACCTAAAAGATCCAATTTTTACATGTATCATATTAGTATATTATTAAATGTATCATATTAGCGGTCTATCACATCATTTCCTGAGTAAATAGCTCACTAATCCAGAAAATACTCACCACATGGTCGCTAATTCGCCACTCTTTACCAGCTCCCTTTTCGCACTCTCGATTATTCTTGGCACAACTGCAAAATTCGAAATTAGCACCTAGATGTTGAGAAAACTGTGGTCATTATCGAAGTTCCGGGCCCTTTTGCACAAAATGAAACTTTTTTTGAAAAGGGTATGTCGCAAAAGTTAATAAACCTGAGTTTTTTTGCTATATTTAACGTTATGCCAAATAAAAATACCTTATCAAGTAATAGTATTAACCAATGGTAATCGATTCATTTCAGCATTATCTGGATGGGAAAAATATTTCAAATTGTAAAATAAATGAAGCAGATTAAATTTGATAAAGTAGAAGAATTGCCTTCTCTACAAGGACTCATGTTTTTCCGCTTGAAACAAGTTTTCAATTTATACACACAATTTTTTATATTACTACTAGTTGGTCAAAAAACAATATCGATTAGCTTTGTCGGGTTGCAGAAATCGGGACAAATTTGTTTATGAGATTATGGTACATTTAGAACAAGTATTTCATGAAAAATCGCTGAACAGCTATGTCTGAGCAGAAATCGTTTTTCAAAATGATAACTTGTTGCAAAAAAGTGGAATTGGATAGTATTTGCATGTGAAAACGTAATTATTCACTAGCCATCCTTTGGTGCGCTCGGCCCACTCATGTCTTACAGAATCTACAAAAAAAATGAGGCATATATGCTGGTTTAGCGATTTATGAGCACAATAATCATAAAAATGGACTTCCAGTACCTAATCAATGCACTTTAAGAACTGCTAAGTTCAAAATTTTTGTTGATCCTGCTAACTACTACATGGACTACAGTACCCCTACAATATTCTTCACACTTTCGTGTACAATTCCTTGTTATCATCTGTTATTCAAGTATTCCGTCGATACTATGATGTCTACCGGATGTGATGTTAAACGATGATGTGAAAGAGGTTGTAAAATCGCAATTTCCGCTTTAGGTCATTACTCTACGTTCACTCCTTGCCGTCTTTACATAGCTTTGCTCGATCCTGTATCACAACTCTTTGGTGAGTTTTTTGTCTTACATTCTATTCTTAGAAGGACAAAATCCTTAGTCTATTAGTACAATGCAGACTTCAATGGGTACAAACGCCTTTTACGCTTTCGTCATTATGGCCACGTTCTTGGAAACGGTATCAGGTAAGATTTGTTTAGAACTGATTAAGATCAAGTTTCTCAAAGTTATTATGGAATGTTAATTGACACTATACATAGTTGCACATGCTAGCAAAAAAAATTGAAACTCTATCAGGTACGGGAAAAAACAAGAAAACTGAGATGAAGCAATAGATCTTACTCATTACCCGCAGAACATGTAAACAAGAAAAAACCGAAAGTAGGAATTGGCAATGAAAAGAATAAAGCATAATATCTATTAAGATGAAGTAGAGAAAGATATTAGGTTGGAATGTAGTTCTGGCGTTGCATTAAAAGCAAATAGACAATCCCTCAAATTGCTTTTGTCAGCTAAAAATGAAAAATGGTCCAACAATCTGCGAATTTACTTCTTTTGTGGGTTTCGACTTACTTTTTAACCGAATAAAATTCGTGCTGGTCGGATGTTCTACGAAATTGGAATTTTTGACTTTTTTCTTTGAATTTTTCCAGAAGTAATTTCCAATATGTATACAGGGTGTTTCAGTAAATGTGCCTACTGTTTGACTGTTAATAACTCTCTTGTCATGAAGTCTTTCGAGAAGCTTCAGAAACCTTTTGTAGAGCTGGCTTCAACTTAGATCTACAGTATAAAGCGAACCATCGTTCCCTCTTCACTACTGTGAAATTAAGTAGAAATTTTGAAGAGGCTTTTGGGCCGTGGAGGGCCATATTTTGCTTTAGAAAATGCAGCAACCTGGAAACTTTCACGTTAGGTTAATTATGGTTGTTACTTCTAACTATGAAATTTGCATTTCATTATAATGCTTCCTTAGAAAGTTACGCCAGGTAATCAGTGGCAGCCCCGTTCCGATGTTCCTAAGAAATATGCTTACACTGTTTAGAAAATTTTGCAATCTTGGACCAAGCTGAACAAACTCAGCGTCCATGGAAAACCTATTACATAAGTTTACAGGGTTTTTTTTAAAAATGTTTGCAACGGCAGCTTTTCACAGTGACGCCATATGCCGGAATTTTCCACCGTAATCCTAAAATTGGCTTTAAGTTGAAGTCAGCTTTACAAAATAGCATCTAAGGCTTCTCAACAGAACTTCGTGACGAGAGCGTCTCCACAAAACAGTAGGCACATTTTTTTGGGAGATCCAGTATAATTAGGTACTACATATGGTAAAGACAAAAAAATATTATACATATTAAAAGCGATCAACAATCTTACATGATCCTTTAGAATTGATGCAAGGCTCATTGTTAGACTGTCCATCCTAAGAAATTACTGTTCATATACTCATCGTTATTTTTTAGAAGTTCAATGTTCTGCTAAATCAAATTAAAGAATTTGTAGACTTACAAGGGAGGTCCCTTTGGTCGAATTGACCTTTTCACATGAAATTGATACGACTATAAAGAGCATCGAACGCTGATTCCAAATTTGTCTTCGCTATCTGCCGAGCATCTCTGTCGAGTTATGAGCGTTTTTTTGAGTTGAGAAATTGAATGCATGATTAGAACATAATTTGTCAGAATTGCTCTATTGGTACAATGTTGTTTCAGAGCACTCCGCTTGAACAGTACCTTCTGTTCAAAACACTCATACTTAACACTGCTCTATTTGAGCGCTAAAATGACCGTAAAATTTGATTTTACGTAGATTATGCGTCCATTTTTCGCATCAAGAAAATATTCATAACTCGGCGTGCAGAGGCGTTCGGCAGATAGTGATAGCAGATTTTGAATTACCGTTTGATGCTCTTAAAAGTGAGGTAAGACTCATTTGAAAGGGTCATTTCGACTAATCGGACCTCCCTTGTTAGAAGCAAAAAAGTAGACTTCAAGCGTCCATTGGAAGTAATCCCAAGCATTTTAAGCTGTTCTTTTTTTTTTTACCTGCGCAGAAGGAAACACTGATAATTTGTATATTTTTCAGCAAAAGATATCAACCTTGATCCAGAGCAAATTATGAGTGAACTTGATCATTACGATATACAGGTCGGTTGGGCTATAATTCACTTTCTAGATTTTCTAGTTTTATAAGTAGCTTTTCGCATTACTTCATGAATTATAGGACACGCGAGGTGCATCCTTGGACCCGGACATCTACGACAGCGTATTGGAAGAGTTTTCTCGATTTGTGAGGAACAATAATGAAGAAGAACAAGGAAAAGATGATTTGCAAAACTACATCGCTAACCAGAGAGTACCAATCCAGATCTTACCCGACTTGACACACAAAATGGTACCATTTAAATGGTATAACTTTATAATGCTATTTTCGCATTTAGGTAATCATTCCAAGAGATGCTTTACACAGAGGAAAACAAATGGCAAACAATCGAAATACTCGTTCTTTACTGCCGTGAACTATATTTTAGAAAAAAGTGCAAATATTTAAAAAAGCTTTAAAAATATGGTCTCATAATTGTATTCGTAGACATTTCGCTTTGTGCAATCATGTCCGAGGTATTTTTTGGTATCGTTTACTTGTGAGCTTTTTCTCCTCTGTTTATGGAGCTACTAAGCACTCATGGATCTGATTTTTGTGGATAAATCTAGTGTGAACACTGGAAAAGTTTCAACATTTGCAGACAAAAAAACAACGCAAAAATCCAAATTTCCTTTTTCTTACAATTATGATTTGCAGAATACTCAAAACATTACTACCAAGTACTTACTAATGGAGAAAAATCACATGACAAGCATAATCAAAATCAAAAGTTGAAAATGTGATAATTGAATAATAATTTTCTTCCAATATGTTTTATACAACGACAAAAAATTATAAAGCGCATTATTTTACTAGCCGAATATACCTAAAGAATTAGCTTAGATTTTTAGTACTCATACATTTTTTTCTTTTTTTACTGGTTTTTCTTTCACCATCATTTTCAATCCCAATGTTTAACTCCATGGGAAATAAAAGACTACAACACACTCAAACTGAATAAAGGCCTGCTTTTTGTCTTCGAGATACTATCGACCTAAAAATGAATATTACGAAAATGAACACATAATTTCCACTATCCATATTTTATACGCAATCTAAAAGAATTCGGACACCAAGTGTACTTCAAGTAAATCTGAAATCACGCACCTCCCACGTAAACTTGTGTTTTTTGCGTCGCTTGCCCGGCAGAGTTCGCTACCACGCAGACGTACTCTCCTTCATCGCTAAGTCTCGTTGACATTATGTTCACTCTCGTTTTATCTTCAGTGAACTCGAGATTTGCGGTTGGCAGAAGGGGTAGACCGTTCTAAAAATAATTGCTTAATTCAAAAAAAAGTTTTAAAGGTGTACGCGTCGCGTTCCTACAGTATGCTACCGTAAATTTACGCGTAGTACGTGCCGCGTCACGAAATCCTACAATCAAGTAGCTTTTTTGCTCGTGTGCTGCACAGTTTTCAGGATATTAACGATGAAACGTCGGCTTTTCAGGCAAAAAGTACATATAATGAAATTGTTTACTTACTTAAACATGATTTTGACGAGAAGACGGAGAAGAAGCTAAAACACACGACTAACTCGGAGCTAGATGGCTAACCTTATCTTGGAAAATGCGCATTTACACACTAGCAAAGAAACCTAGTTAATTTTGAAAACATCTGCTCATGTTTAGTAAGCAAAGGCAAGTTCAGTTAAGTTGATTGCCTAGATTTTTTCTTGTATACTGTTGGTACAATCTCGAAAACGCTGATCATTCTTTAGAGAATACGATATGGGCGAGATTTTTCGATTATATTTCCCTGCCGGAAAAACTATATGAGCTGCAGCTTGTGCCGTGGATTAGTAAGGTCGCCAAACAGGTTTTAAATAAGAAATCAAGTACCCAGGTTTTATCAAGACAGCTTGAGTTTGGCACCGGTTACGGTAGCATACGGTAAATAAATGCAAAAAGTTTGACATCAGTGTGATCTCACCTTCATCCACTGAATCTGAGAATCGTCGCCGACGATTTCACATGGAAGTGAAGTAGGCTCTCCTTCTGTAGCATTCATATAACGGACACCTTCACTGCTAACGACTGGAGCATCTAAAAAACGGATTGCTACTATGAAATTACTGTGTGAGCGAGAGTTTGTCGTTCTTCTCGATCAGGAATGAGTTATAAGAGCTGTAACTTAAGCATTGGCTTAATCAAGCTCTCCTGAGACCTGACACGTAACGTACTTATTGTGTGGATTTCATATTCAACTTCATCACTGCCAGCATCGTTTTTGACTGTACACCTGTACGTGGAAACTCGTCCAGACGCTGCGTCTACGTTGAGGGTTCCATCAGGAGCTAAAAAGTCAGTATTACAAGGAAACCATATGATTCGAACAAAAAATGTGCAACAAACCTATACTGACTCCATCGACTCCATCAGTAAGCGGTTCACCATCGACAGTCCATGTTACCGCCGGATCAGGATATCCTCGCACACCACATTTGAGAGAGAATGGTGTGCCCACTGGTACCGAGGTCTTTGGAGAAGATGTCGAAACAATTTTTGGTGCGACTAAATTAGGACTCGAGATTAGTTTGAGTAGAAAGTCTCGGACAAAATAGACGAGTTTAGAAAATTCTGATGTTTTTGAAAGACTTCAAAGGAGCCCGGTAATCCGACCCTCGAAAGATCGTTACTATGTAACTCATTAAGCCGTCACTTTGCAGCTTTCCATGAAAGATCGGAAAAGATTATTTGCACGAATGCATAAAAACGTGGCGTCCCTTTTAGGATGTCACAAAGACTACGGTAGCACTGTAAGTGTACATTTTTGCAATGAAGCCATTGGTCATGAAATATCAAGCATTCAAGGGAAAGCGATATAGTAAAATGTGAAATGATTGAACGTGGGACTTTGACAAGATTTAAAGGATCAATCAATTATCGCAAATTATTGCTGAGTCTATCACTGCTCTACTACATGTCATTCTTTCAGAAAGTAAGCTGAGGAGCTATAAAATTGTGATTTCGATGTCAGGTTAGATATTCAGTAAAGCAGATATTAAATATTTCCAAGTCTCGAACTTCAAATGATAGAATTTCACCAATCCAAAAAGGCTAAAACCAGCCTTACCTTCAATTCAGAACTAGACCTTAAAGCAGTATCCAGTACCTAGGTCTCGAGAGGAAATTGATTCGGAGTCGTTATTTAAGCCACTCCCAGATTAAACCCCATACGATTCCAGAAAGGCCAAGAAATTCCAAAAAGTCTCACCCAGTATCGTACTGTTTATGGGTGGAGCGGCTCTCCTAGAGTACGGTATTCGGTGAGAGTTTGAAGTCTGATTACTAGACCACAAATAAGTTATTTGAGCCGACGCTCTTTTCTAGTTAATTAGGCACCCAATCAGTATCCCTACAAAAGATCCAGGTACCCAAATTTGAGCAGGTACATGCTTCAGTATTTATAGTTCAAGAAAGTGTGGTTGGAACAAAACTATCAGTAGCCTTAAAACTCAACTACAGATCGTTGTGACCTACATATTTTTTCTTTCAAAAGCAAACTGCGTAAAACAGGGAGATAAATTACTTACCCAACACTTCTAATGTGTATGCTTGCTGAGCAGTACCAGCCTCGTTTGTCGCGGCGCAAACGTAAATACCCGAATCCGAACTTCTTGCTTCGTACACATTGAGCACCTAAACATACTTTTTAGGTTTAGCAGCTGAACATACCTACACAGTAATAATAACACCGTAGTAATTGGGCTAACCTTGCCATCAGCAATATATCTCACTCCTTGCACACCAGTCTCAACTCGTATTCCATTTCTTAACCAGCTAATCACCGGTGGTGGATGTCCTTCAGCCAAACATTCAATACGAGCAAGTTCACCTTCGATCACTTGTTGTGCTCCTCCGTTTGAGATAATAGGAGCCTCTAGAAATTACATCATTTACACAGTTGCTTCATTTGTCAAAAAGTCTGCACTTACGGACGACGTCTACATTGTATTGCAATGTATCATTTCCGGCTACATTATCGGCAATACATGTGTAGACTCCCTTGTCTTGAAGTGTAATATTGCTGATCTAAACATAGATATGAAAATTTCAGAGTATCGCATTTATCAAGCGTTGAGTACCTTGATGAACTTTCCGGTGTGTCCAAGTTCGATTTGTTCATTGCTTTCGGTTATTTCTGTCTCATTTATGAACCTAAATCGTTTTTGATTTATAGCCAAAGTTAAGTTCAAAGTCTTCATTTTCTATATGACAGCTATAGGCTAGTAGATCTGTAGGTACATATGGTGTTCCGACTTTTGCCGACAGCATTTGGGCGTCAAGTAATTGCTAGAGGGCGCCAGACTTTAAGATCTGCGTTCTGCGGGTATCTTGCTCGCGCAAATCACCGGCATTGCAAGCGCAGCAATTTGTCCACGCGCAAACGTTGTTGCCAGATGACACCCTATGGACAATATTTACGCACAGTTCTACTAGCGCTTTTGAGATGAATAAGAAGGAAAGAAATACGTACCATTTCAATAAAGGCTGCGGTTTCCCTTCGACATCACATATCAGCATAAGCGTTTGTCCAGTTGGAAGACGTGGCGACATATCGATATTGTTTCTAGCTATCACAGGAGGTACTGTAAAGTACTTCATAAAATTTTGTACTAAACATAGTTTGAAATCGCTATTACCGAGTACGTCAACATGTATAGTTGACTCGGCAGTACCAGCTTCATTATTAGCATTGCAAGTATAATCACCAACATCAGAACGTTCCATATGCGGAATATCCAGGCGCGATCCCTAAAAATGGCCTTTGGAGGAAAGTGTGCGATTAGTTTAGCATGTTCGACGACTCCAAGAGAGGCGCCCCTTTTGCACCGCTGCTTGCTACAGTAAAAAGCGCAATGTGCAAAGTGATGCCCGTGTTTGCCCACACGTGTGCACGAAAAATGCGCTTTACATTAATCAGGTAGAACTCCCATTAGAGCAATCTTGCTCTATGAAGGTTACGATAGCTTACAGTACACATAGACCTACATCTGACGGTAAACACTGCCTCTGTGCTGCCGACAATCGCTGACAACATCTGCGCGTGAAGGGATTGCCAGAAGCATCAAACGCAGAGAATATCGCCCTGCGACCATTTTGCAGCGTAAACTGCGAGAATCGCTGGCGTAGAATTTGCTCACTCGCGAGTGTTGTTGATACCACAGTGACACTGTATTTACCTTTATATCTATTAGCCTAAATGTGCAAAATAGACTGTTTAGGTTTTTTTTTTCACTGTGCTGCTTAGTGTGTTTTGAATTGCCTACTTGTAAAGAGCAATCACGTAAGCATATAAGGCCCTTTACCGGACAAAGGCGATAGACACTCAAACGCAAGCGGCCGCGAACGCGGCCGCTTGCGTTTAATATTATCCGTGAAACGCGGGAAGCCCCGGGCATACTTCACGCGATTCAGTCACGACGCGATTTTGCAGTACACTATTACCCATCAAAGGCGTATTCCACAAGTAAAAAAGGTAGAGCATCTTATCTATGTATGAAATTTATACATGCTATGCATCTTTGGTCTGCGAAAATAGTATTGGTAAATTGCCAGACCACTGGTACATTGCCAGCTCGCCTGGGGACTGAAGTTGGTGAACTCTGTTCGGGACCTGAGGCACAAAGTCAAGTGATGCTAGTTGCCTGCCCTCCGCGTTCGCGCCGCTTCGCTCACTTAGCAGCCGCCTTCGTCTGCCGCTAGACTGTACATTGACAATCCATAGAAAACTGCCCCGGCTGACCTTCAGGGATATGCGAACACCTTCCACACTGTTGATAATCGGTTGTCCGCCCTTTGTCCAGCTGAGTGATGGAGGAGGATTTCCACTAGCTTCACATAACAGCGTCACAGTTTCGCCCAGTGCTTTAATGGGTGCTTCGGAAGACACTCGAACAACGGGAGGAACTGCAAAGTGGTCGAATTAGCTCACAAATTTTGATATCTCTTCTCATAGCTTACTCCAGACATCGAGCTGCATTTCTAGCTCTCTAACACCAGCATCATTTTCAGCTGCACAAGTCCATGTTCCAGCATGTTCTCGCTTTGTGTCCAGAATTTCCAGCATTTGTCCTTCGTCAAGGATCTTGATCACATCGCTTGCTGGAATATGCAGATTGTCAACTTGCAGTGCTACCGTAACCAGTCACCCACGTTTCACTTCCTCTCCATCCTTCCTCCATGTAATGCTCGGAAATGGATGTCCGCTTACCGCACACCAAAGCGTAACAGGACGTCCAACGGTAACTCTCGGAGAAGCATCATTGCGCGAGTTGTCTATAGCAGGGGGTGCTGAAATAATAACTATTTTTATTCCCAGTCAATTCGTTTGTTCGGAATCATGCTTGATATAGTTGAAGCAGTAAGACAGTGTTATTTCAGACACTTGGTTAGGGTAAGTTGAACATGAACACTAAGGGACTTCGTAATCGTTCTAGGTAAGAATTAAGACAACTCTTTGGCAGCGTCAGAACTGCCCATGTGCCGACGCTGTGCGGCGCCGCTCCACCGTCGTGCCGGAACCGAAGTGATCTCTCAGTATTGATTGATTGATGTTCCGGTACGACGCTAGCACGCGGCTGGAACGGTGCTGGCAAGGCGAATCTGACCTCAGTCTCAATCTGAATGTATATCTTCTACTAATACTTATAAAGATATGAGATTTACACTAACAATAAATACTAGTTAATAAATTCTTTGCGGGGTTTTGAAGCAACTTCCTGCAAAGAAATAGTAGGTCTATCCCTCTTTGCTAAAATTTTGATTTATCCACAATTTCATAACTAAGGAAATCTTAACACGTTTATAAATAAATTTGTCCTCGTCTTCTGGTTTGGTTTCAAAATAATGTATAGCTAATATGACTAAGCTGAAAAGCGGATTAGAAAACTACTTGATACTGTGTAAGATCTCAGTACTTATTTAGATAACGTTTTCATTCCTAAAAATATCCCAATCGAACATTTCATCCTTCGTAAATGTATGTTCAATCTGGTCAGGGATAGATAAAGCAGAGAACATGCAATCACAGCAAACCATGCAGTTAAAATTTATTGAACAATCTCAGAAATGTTATAACACGAGACACATAAAAAAGCCAGAGTTCCCTGGAAGAAATCAACACACGAAATAGAGATCACTTTATTATGAAAGCTTGCTCTATCTACATACTTTGCACAGTTGGGCAGTTAAAAGCATATGAATCTATAAATAGCGCTTATGGGAATGATGAAAGGCAGACCTTTTTAATTTATTTTTCCTAGACTTTCGATGATTTTTTCGCAAATGATATGGACGTTCAGGCGAATTGTCTGAAACATCTTTAGCACGTTTTTTGAAGCGAGGGCGCTTGTGACCATTCGCTTCCAATTCGTCCTTATGCCTTAGCTCTCTAAGGATATACTCAAAGAAACTACGCTCGTAGTCTCTATTTCGCTTGACACGTCTTTTGGGAAGCATAGAATCATCATCTTCAAGCTCAAAATCTTGTGGAAGCTCAAAAATAATTTCTGGCGTTACGCGCATGGTCGTTGTGCTAGGCATTACTGTAACAGCTGTTGATGTAGTTGTCGTTACAGTAACTCGGTTAACGGTTTCAGTAGTAGATGAGTTAGTAGCGTTGGTCCATCGATGTTGGTAAGTAGCGCGATGTCGTTCTTCTAAGTCACGACATTTCTGGCTTCCTAGGTGCGTACACAGTATTTCCACTTTGAAGTCCAGCGATGATTCTCCAGCACGATTGATCGCAACACATGTGTACAATCCAGCATCGGTAAGTGATGTTGATGGAATTTGGAGTCGTCGTCCATCGGCCGAAATCTGCAAAATATTTATTTCAGGTAAATTCAGTGAAACATTGAGTTTGCATCTTTGGCATGCGCCATACTTGATCCGCTTCTTTCACTTGATTCACTTCATCCACTGCGAATTGGTCAAATCAGTGAACTGACAATAGCGAAGCCGATGTCTACTTGATCCACTTGGTCCACTTCGCTATTGGTCAGTTCACTGATTTGAGCAATAGCGAAGTGTACGAAGCGGATCAAGTACGATACGTGCCTTTACGGTTATCTTGCTCTGCTACAGTATGCTACAGTAACCCGCACTGCGACGGTGATGAATAGCAGACGCTAACCACGCCCACTGCTATTCAAGCATGAATTAAAGGGCTGCGCGAGACTACGGTAGCTTCATACAATTGCAAGTAAAGCACTCATTGGACCAAGAAAGTTGAGATTTGGAGATTTATGGAGTCCTGTTAGACCTCGGGCACACCTGCGTGATCAACCGCACCCCATTTGGGCGTTTTGCCAAGTTTTTCATATTTACCTATAGCAAAATCCATAAGTACTATGTGCACAACTTTTGTAAGTCGACCCTTCTGTATATTTCACCGTTTACGATGAGTTGTACACGTTTGGAGCTCTGCCAAACCGCGGGCGATTGAGGTAGTCCGACCTGCAGATTTTCGGGCACACTTCGCGCTTCAATTTTTAGGTACGTTCATTCTGAGAACGGATCATTTGGAACATTTTATGAAGCCTTCCATTTGGGATCTGCGATCGATAGATTTGTGAATATCTGGCAATATGCGAAATTGCTTAGAGTTACGTCCAAAGCCTTATGTTGAGGTAGCTAGCGACTGTTATTTGTCTACTTATAAAGTTTCTCTAAAACTAATAAATGAAAACCTTAACGCCAGCGTTGTTTTCTCGTTCAATCGGTCGTCCATCCTTGATCCAGCTGACATCCGACACTGCCGAAGTCACATCAACCGCAGATCTTATTGGGCAAGTGATCGACAATGGATCTCCCTCGCGTTTTGTATGTGTTTGGGTCTCTGTGGATTCAAGAGCAGGTGGGGCTAAAAACCAAAATTTTGGAATTCTATGAACTTTCGTGAAGAAGGTTAACGTACTTAGCACTTCTAGATTAAAGTCTTGCTCCACAGTTCCGCCTTTGTTCGAAGCGATGCATGTATATCGCGCTTGATCGGCTGTTCGTACGCCTTCTATTCCGAATGTCTGATTGTTCTGGAGAAACAATTTGGACGATATCCATTCTTCGAAAATGGTAAACCACGCTATTTCTTCTACAAAGGAAAACTTACTTGAGCAAAAACAATTCTGCTATCCCTAACGTCAACAGGACGACCATCTTTTGTCCATGATACGGTTGGTTGCGGAATGCCGGATACAGGACATTCTAGATAAATATTTCTCTCCACAATTGCCAGTGGATTGCCAATAATGTTCGATTTGTCAATTTTTGGTGGGACAAGCACCTGAAATGGAAATGAAATTGCTCTATAGAATTTATGAATGAAGACCCACCTTCAAAATCAAATCTATGTCAGAAGATCCAGCTTCATTGCTGGCTTTACAGGTGTATTTTCCTCCATCAGACAGAGAAACCGAACGAATTGTGAGTTGCTAAAGAAGACTAATGTGTTATGCCACTCTTAGCAAGCAGAAGAATTTTTTTTGCCAGATACGAGAACCGGTCTTCAGGCGAGAACTGGTCCCCAAATGCAATTTTTTTCTGCTCTTTGCATATAATGACTAAGGTGTAAGATTAACCATAGCATCAGGAGAAAGTGCCATATTTCCAGCGAGGTAAAGAGGTTGTTCGCCGCGGTACCAAATGATTTCAGGTTTTGGCTCCGTGGCCACTGCGCAATCCAGAGTGACCGCTTCATGCTCCACTACTTCATATACAGATTCGCCAGTACGATGGAATTTAGGTGGAGCTGAAAGCGGTAAGATCAGATTCTGATACTCATATAATGATTTTGTTTTTCTTTACATTGAATACAGTTCCAGATGTCTAAATTTGCCAACAACATTTGCGCGTAAAGGAATTGCCGAGCTGCGCCTTGCGTGCACTTTGCGCTCACATCGCACGCGCAAATTCCCAGCATTACTGACGCAGAGATTTGCCCACGCGCAAGTGTTGTCGGCAAATGCACACAGCAGATACCCTTTAACCACCTAAAAAATGTCCACTTACCAATAACTTCAGACTTGTAGTCTGTGTCTAAGATTCCAGCTTCATTTACTGCATGACAAGTATATCGACCCTCATCGTCTTTCTAAACCAAAATCAAAACTACTAAAACGTTACTAAACTACTACTAAACTAAAAACGTTTTAAGGTTCACCTGTGCCATAACTATTTGAAGATGTTTTCCATCAATGACTGTGAATCGTGGATCGTCCTCAAGTGGGAAGCCATCCTTGCGCCATTCAACCTATAGGTGTAGAATGTAAATTTCTAAACCAGGCTAGATTCCACAACAAAAATCTGGCCTACCTTCGGATCAGGATTTCCAAGCACAGGACAATAGAGGGTGAGTGTTTTACCTTGCACGATATGCGGATTCTGATCTACAGATTCCTCTATATGAGGTGCTGTATAGACAGAGACCTAAATATCGCATCTTTTAGAGCCAGTAATTATGAATGCACAATTTCAATCTCACAGTAAAACCAGCTTCAGTCTCTCCAGCAGCATTTTTTGCCACACAAGAATATGAACCAGCATCAGCACGTCTAGCTTTCAGAATCATCAAAGTTTCTCCACGAGGTGACAATATAAAGTTCGACATATCCTCGATCGGTCGTCCACCTCGAAGCCATCTTTAAAGTTATTATTTCAGAATATGGATCTAGACAATGGGTATGTGGACACTGTTTGGGGAGTTCTACTCAAACTACTGCCCAAGCAGCAGCGCAAACGATCCAATCATAGCCATTCAGCTTCATGTTTTCGCCTAGTACCGGCGGCGTGGCGTTATGGAGCAAAGCCTAAGCCGCATTCGCCTGCGGTATATCCTGAGGGCCGTATGGGTTGCGTCGCTCCTAAATGCAGCCGCAGAGGAGCTAGCGCTACCCAGCGGATTGAGCCATTCTTCATATTCTCCATACATAAAGAGATCAAAATGTAGAAGGTAAACGGATTTTGAGACTGAATTAAAGTAGAACATGAGGAAGAACTGTCGCAGGTACAGGGAAATCAAAAGAAGAGGAAATTGATTTCTCTCAAGAAGTCACTGACGGGAAGTTTCTGTCCCTTTCCTCTACTATTTCTCGTGTTTCACTTCTCTTGAACACCTTTTAACTCAAATTTAGCCCTTTGATTTATCACAAAATTCATCTTTAAACTTAATCTGTTTTTTTTTTGATTTTTGGTTTATTCATTGCAATTACACAGTTTGAACATCTCAGGGCGTAGCAATAGGGAAAAAGGCCCAATCTGGCAGGAGTGCGTTACTCCTGCGGCTGCAATTAAAGGCGACGCAACGCAAATGTCCCTCAGGATATACCAAAGGGGAATGCGGCGTAGCTTTGCTCCATAACGCCTGCCCCCCCCCTAGTACCATAGTCGAGGACGCTGATAATTGCCCGCCCAAAAAAGTTATGGTATTGGGCGAAACATGGGGAGCATTTTCGGCTGCGAGTAGATCGTAGCCACAAAAGGTTTGACTAGACCCCATGGAAAGTCCAGATATTAAATTGTCAGACATTGCCATTACAACAAAAAAAAACAATTAAGCAAGAATCTTGACATCGGAATTTGGAAAGCAAAATCATGATTCCCACAAGAGGAATATTGAGTGTGATGATAGCTCAGACGAATGACTGAGACCTACTGAGACAGAATATAATGAAAAAGAATGTTAGAGAATATTTTTACCTAACAGTTGGTGTCGGATGTCCTTCAACTTTACACTCAAGACGGGCTTGATCTCCATCAATTACCTAAAATAGATTTTCAACTATGAGTGTATCATAAACAACGAAATGTGTGACTGTCAAGCTCACCTGAACCTCTTTCTTTATATCTTTGAACCTTGGCCGGCTAAAAACGTCAACTGCGAAATCAGCCGACACATGGCCGGCTTCATTACGGGCAGTGCAGGTGTATCTACCGGCATCGGAAGTAGTCGCTTGAGGAACAAGCAAACGACTTCCTTGTACGTCTGAAATGTCATTATATAGTAAAATAGACCTAAAATCTTCTAGACTCACCATCCAGAGGCTGTCCATCCTTTTTCCAGCTAATCTGAGGAGTAGGAATACCAGTGGCAATGCAATCAATGTTCAGAGTGTTGTTCTCTTTGACCTGGATGACCCGCTCCGCATCTTCGATTACGGGGATCACTAAAAATACAGATCATACACGAAGATAGTTCCCTAATCCGACATGGGCTTATTCCATGTGGGTACTGTATGGGTTTGACCATTTTTCTCCTGTGATTACTGTAATTTCTTTGACCGTCGAGCGCGAAAAATTCAAAAAAAAAATCCGCAACTCGTAAAATGAGCGTTACAGTTTTCCAAAATTGTTCACAAACATTGTAGGCCTTCTCTCCTTACTATGGAGTCCTAAAGAGGGTCTAGAAAATAGAAACCCCGCCTAGGGGAGGGACGAAACGAAATTTTTATGGGAGATATTATACCTAGATTTTAACATTTTTACATTGCAGGACTCCACCAATGATCAAGTAATAACATTATCCATTTATTTTGTTCTACTGTGATCGTGTTTTAGTTTTTGCTGACTTATGATAAGAAGATGCGCAAGATGCTATTTTCGATGCTCAGCTACAACATTATGGAGGTCAGCTTCCGCGCTCCATGGATAATGGGAATTGCAAGAATAGGAATCAGGAAAGTAGTATGAACAATCTTTATGATGTACCTAGCACGTGAAGTTGTGTGCTTGCTCTTTGTTCACCAGCTCGATTCATTGCGATACATGTGTACCTGAAATACGAATTTTAGTAAATTTCGTTCCTGAGAATTTCCTTTCTACCTTCCAGCATCCTCTACGCTAGCTTCCCTTAGATGGAGATATGCTAGATTTGTTGAGCTTTGTAAAAGCTCAGATTGGAATAGCTGTCCGTTCTTCATCCATTCAACTTTCGGTGGTGGATTTCCGAAGACCTAAAACACAAATGTTAATCGAGTGTAGAACCCTTACAAGATTTAAGCGAAATTAACCTCGCAACGAATAGTTGCTCCCCTGCCAGCTACAACTTTCATCTCGTCGGACTGCATGAACACTCGTGGCGGAGCTGGAGAATTGAAAACATGTGGTAAAAATTACAAAAACTGAGCGCGATAGTAAAGTTGTGCACAATATTGCGTCGCCCTTTTATGGCAAGGAATCTTAGGTTACTCTCATGTCTGCGTCTCTTCCCATGAAATAGCACCAAAAATTTACAAGAGGCCCAGTCCACTGGTCAAAAGGCAGCAATATATTATGGAGATATCCTAACGAACAGATTCGATAACAACAAAGTACTTATTCAATCGCTACATCTATCCCAGTGAATTTATGAATTGCGAACGTCCCATTTGCAATTTGCACGAAAAATAAGTCTTTGCAAAAGTTGCAAAAATATGTCATGTTTTATTCCTTGTTTTGTGCACGTCTGCAAGCATACTGCAGAAATTTTCGCCCACACTAATTTTACATTTGGAGGTTTGCTTCAAAAGTGTTTACCTTGACTCCATTCATAAGGGAAAAACACTTATTTGACCCTGATGTCGTAGCGATTTGAACCTTTGGTTTGTCAAAAAAAACCAAGAAGGAATATCCTTATGACTTTAAGTAAGAAAAGTGGTTTTAGACTTGCTGAGATGAAACTCGAACTGGATAGGCGCACAAAATTGTCTGTCACCTTTCAACTTCTATGGATAAAAGCTTTCAGTCCATTTCAGTTAGCCTTTATTTTTGTGAAACAGTGGGTATATGTTAGGGAGTGTATGAAATCGTATGTCAAACATTTGTTTTCTTAAGTTGAACACACCCTAGTGTGATATCCAAGTAAGCGGATCAAATTAGGCGGGAAAGAAGTTCAAATCCCCGCTCGCAGCATGGATTGCCTTTACATAAAAATTGACAGTGCATGGGATTTTGGATAAAATTGTAAAGTTTTATTTGCCTCTACTTATAAGTTTCTGGATACATGATTCGTAACCCACCTGTAACCTGTACGTACGTATCTGCCTCTGCTTTACCAGCTTTGTTCTCGGCTTTACACGTATATCGACCTTCTTCTTCACTTTGTACATGGTTCAAAAGAAGTATACGACCGTTATCCACAAACTGAATGTGCCAAAATAATACCATTTATCTTTGGATCAGGAAGCTAGTAGAGTTCCAGGAAATCATGCCTGTAAACTCTAAAATATTACCTGAATATTTTCGGTTTCGAGAAGAGCTTTGCCGTCCATCAACCATGTTATAGTCGGGGCAGGGGTACCTTCCACATCGCATGCTAATTCCACAGTTTGATTGAGAATCACATCAATCGAACGGAATGATGGACCACGAATTTTGGGTGCCACTAGAATGAAAACATTTACAGCTTGGAATGAACTTCTAAAGAGTACTAATTAAAACCTTAGCTAAGCCACAACCCAAGCGGAACTTTATTTGTTAATTCAGGACTGAAAAAATCAACTGTGAAGTCTCGCCCACAACCGTATTCGCGCTGAGTGGTTGGCTCGAACGAGTACGGTCTGGGTCAAGGTACAAGTTGGATGTTCTGACCACGAATGAAGCGCATATGTTGCCTCTTGGGAGATGGCTTAATAATAGCTTAACAAATAACATAATAAACCGCTTTACCGTTCACAATCGTGTCAAAAACGGATTGATCCTCTCCGGCCTGATTTCTTGCAATGCAAGCGTATTGTGCGCTGTCGGATGGCTCAGCATCCATGAGGTAAAGTTTGTCGCGACGTACAGAAATCTAAAAAATCATAAACACTTTAGTTTCAGGGTCATAAAGACAAAAAAAAACGTGAATTTTTACCTGCACTTTATCGGATGTTGTTACAGGTATACCATTTTTGGTCCAGAAAAATTCGACGGTAGGATCCTAAATTCATTTTTTTTCAGGAATCACGTCATTTTTTGAGTCAGGGTATATAAGCTTGCCTCTAGAGGACACTGCAAGGTCAGTTGGTGGCCTTGTTGAACTTCCTTTGGTGCAAAACGACTTTCCATTACCGGAGGTTCTGAAAAAAATTCTTTTCTGCCGCTGCTATTGCTTTGTGACGGCAAATAATCAAATTGTCTCACTGAGAATAGAAACCACAAGATCTTTTTCGGCTCGTCCAGGTTTATTCTCAGCAATGCATGAGTAACGGCCAGCATCTTCAGCCTGCAAAAAATCTTGGATCTATAGTTTAAAAAAACACGAAAAAGTCTAGATAATTGACCTTTGCCTCTCGTATTTGTAGCTGTTGTTTGTCATTGATATATATGCCAGTATCGTTGAGTTTGTAGCCATTCTGAAAGAGATAGAAACAGTTGCTTTTTCTCAAAGCTCTATTAGGCTTATTAAAGTGCAAGCGAAGCAAGTGTAGACTTCAAGGATGTAGCGAAAAAAAAACCGCTTCTCATTCAAAACACGTACATCGCATTTGTCTGGGAAAATAGCATGAAATTAAGAAGAAAAATTTTTATTGATTCAAGTTGGGAGGCATTTTTGGTGGAGCTTATACAGAAAAAAACACATTGTTTGGCAAACTTAGCCTTTTACAAGTACCTTTGGATCAAAATTAAGCAATTATTGATCACCAAGGGAAACTTGATTTGTAGAAAATTGAAAAAAGAAATAAATGTCAGAAGAGTATGCTACTGCTGCAAATAAAAATTGAGGCCCTAATATTACTAATTTTAATTTTATCAATTCACAATTTTAATTTTAATCTTCTAATTTCAAATTATCTAATTAATCCATCCCAGTCCGATAGCTCCTAGCATCCTACATAAAGCTCATGCTAATCAAATTTATTATTTCTTGTTTTCTGCTCATGCTTTTTGACGGAAAACATTCTAATTAAGTCGAAAATGTGAAGAGGAGACTGATGCCTAGAATGACAAAAAAGTTACGATTTCTATAGAAATTCCATTTCCATTTCTCTCTGATTTATCAACACTGTTAGCACATGAAGGGACTCGTTTAGTACACGTGATACTACAATTTAGACTTTTTGGATATGTAATATGATAACTTACACACTCAGGCACAAGTTCATAAAATGTCTAGAAAGCGTGTTCGACAAACAGGTGCGTTTCGATGAGAAAAAGCAAGTAGAAAGAGAAAGGGACAGGTGGAGATAACATTTGCGTCATTTCTTTTGAAAAGACAAGCAATTTAGTCTAACTATAGCCGATTCGTATAAATTCATTTGAGATGATAAGAAAAAGAGTTTTTTGTGGTAAGTCCTGTTATGAAAAAGAAATTTCTGTATGAAAATGTAAGTTCAACCAGATGCTGCTGTTATATTGTTCACTCGGAATTTCCTAGTTTTCTAGGTGCATAGAAAGATTTCTTGAATTTATTGCCATACTTTTTCTGAAAGGAACAAATCTATTTCCTCCCATTTTCGAGCATTCAAAGTTTTATTTCTGCGTCATTGTATTATTTTAGAAAGGTTATTGGGAGACTCCAAAATTGCAATAGGTGGCAAAAATCATAGCAGATTGTGCCTGTTTTTATAGCAGACTATAAAGGCAAAAATCATAAATAGACCTAAGTATATACAAAAAAGATTGTTTCCGATTATGATTGATGTTTACAGACATCTGAGAACACAAAAAATAATGACATGTGAAGTTCCTTGTTATAACTTTTGATTTTATGGTCGCTAGAATTACTATAAACATCTAACAAGTTCACTTTAACTGATAAACAGAACACTTCTCAAACCCATTCGAATTTTGCTTCAAAGTTGCCGAATTACCTATCATAAAAGTTCTCTTGCACTCAAGAAATTGTAACATCAATGTACTTGAACGAGTTTAGTTTGTATCTATTACCTAAGAGTACTCACGTGTTTATACATGCATACATGTTTATATTCTCATACTATACTCTTTCGCTTTATGAACTAAAAGGTCAAAACGATGGCTGATAAGATGCGACGCTGTTTCATGACTTCTTCACAAGTTTGGGAGATTATATTAGTAGCTTAGAGATAAGGACGATACTGAAAATTTTTTTTGATTTAATAATTTATTGACTGCATTAATCGATGGACGAATATGATTATCAAAAGAAAACATCTTGATAGTAATACTTTGACTTCACAAAGATTGCTATAGGAATTTATTGAAATAATAATCATAAAGTAAAAAAAATTCAAGAACAAAGTCGTGTGTTAGGATGTCATGATAAAAATTATAGGAGTCTTTGGTAGTCCATTCGTAGATCTCAAATCGAATTTTGGGCTTTTTCAAGAAATTCCAAAAATTTATTTTATAGGCTTCATTTTGCTATTGACTGCATTTATTGATGCGCCAAAAAACGTGGTTCTAATGAGAAAAAACATCTTGGAGAAATCCATTTATTTATTTATTGAATTATCAAGTTTATTTATACGTCAAACAAACATTGTTCTGACAAAAAAAATCCTGAAGAAATTTAATAATTTTTATTCTTAACAACCCTATTCATTGCTGATAAAATTAACGTGGTTATTATAGGGAAAAAATCCAATGAAATTTATTTATTTATCTATTTATTGACTATTATTTATGAGTCAAATAAGCGTGTTCTAACAACAACAAAAAATTTAGACTAGCAGGAACTTGAACAAAAAAATCGTAGGAGCTTTTGGCGGCTTCGTTATGATTTTCAACTTGGATTCAAAGTTTTAATTTTTCGAAATCCATCTTTTTCAGCTTAAATCCCTGCACAATACGAATTTTCCCTGAAAGCCTTGAATCCTTTCTAGAAATAAATGTCTGCCCTACCCTAGTAACGGTGAGTAATGGGCATTGACGATGGCTAGAATAGCGTATCACCATCACTCTGAATTCGGTATTCAAATGAAATTAGCGTCACTGATGCGAGCATTGACGGCATTCTATGTGTGCACTGGGGGGCTTCGCTTCTCTAATTAGAATATGCATGTAAGCTTTGGTTGACTACGAGCTTTACTAAACCCTAGTAGATTGGGGTTTGGGTGCGGGTATCGGTCCCAGGGTTCGGTGCCGAAAAATTCGGGGCCGAACACAAACGAACTCGAACTAAGACGATCGATGCCTGGCAACAGCTGAGCGGCTCAGCGTTTGTGAATTCGATGGAGAAGAAGAAGCCTTTGAAGCTTCCAGGCCCATTTCAAAAGCGGCCATTTATTTTGAAAACAACACAAAATGGCCACTGACTCCTATCTGAATGTAATATCAGAGAGTTTGTTTGTATATGGACAACATAGAACACACATCACTTATTTATTGGAAGGAATCGCAAAACACATGTCGTCCTCCCGTTCGATGGTGGTATAGCACACCCGAAAAACATTTGTGCCCACATGTGCTTCTCCTCCCGCTCTCAAACTTCGACCAGCAATCCGGTGGTTCAACGTCATTATCCTTCTCGTACAGCTGGGAGATTTTTAAAGAATCCAACTTGGAGCAGAAATGGGAGGAAAAGCCTCTAGGAAAAACAGATCTTGGAAATCAGCACTTCTTCGGGTTTGAGCACAACAAAAAAGTACAAGGTGTCTCAAAAGTCTTGCACCCTACTATTTTTTCTGATAAAAACAAAACGAAGATCACACACATATAAGATTTTTTGCAGACATAACTCAAACATCTAAAAACACAATATAGCATTCGAATTCCGAAAAAGCCGGATTGTTCGAAAATTTTCAAAGTTGCGGAATATTGAAGACTTTGTAAAAAAAAAGATTTTAGCGATAATTTCATGTTCCTCAATTATATATGAAGATTATTATGGTCTCGCAAACATGGATTTTGTGAAGGATGATTACCGCATTTTCTGGCATAATTTTAAAATTAAACCAGTAATCCAAAAATATAGCAATCAAATTTAAGCCATAAGACTTTTGGGGCACCTTGTAAACATTGATCATCACAGCAGCCCTATATACCCTTAAAATTTCAAACAAAGCTCTAAAATTCTTATCTAAAGAGTACTAGCGTCTAAAATATCACAGTTCGAACACTCACGTTTTACTTTATCTCTAATGCTCGCATTTTGCAAAAGTGAAAAGCACAAATTGCGAGAAGCAACAGCTGTGAGCTGTCGTGCGTGGCCAGAACAAAGTTTTTATTTAGTGAACTAGAGAATAGTAATAACGTTGGTCTATAGTGAACTGGAACATTTTCGCAGCTCAGGAAATTTCACAGAAATAAAAAAGTTATAGAAAGATTTTGGCCTCCCAGAAATATTGGTTAATTTAGTGTTAGAAAAGGCAGCGGCACCGAAGCAAAAATATAAGATTGTAAACCAGCTTTGCTTACATTTTTACATTCTATCAGATTTTTAACGGAAAATTGCAGGAAAAATGCAGGAATCATTATTAGAATGACAAAAGTATTATAGAGTCCAAAAAATGGGTGGATTATCATTGTTGAAGATTCCATGTTGAAAAAAAGTAATTATATTCGAAGCTAGTTCTTCCTAGAGACACAAGAAGTTTTCTTAACAAAGTTTTGAGAAAAAGACTGATTTCCTGATTTATCCTGAGTTCCTGTTAGCCGGTGTTCTTTCTTGTAAGAACACGTTCACTTGTCTCATTAATGGATGTATTTGATAAAAAGGTAAACAGATTACTCGACAAGAAAAATGTAAAATTTGTTCTGTGTGATCCATAGAACTTAAAAAAGTTGCGTGGGAAAAATCGGAAAATTGTATTTGAAGAGGTAAATACAAGGGTTTTTTGTACTAAAAAGTTCTAAAAGAAAGACAGCTGCAATAAAAATACAAAGTTCATAACTTTGCTTCGTATTTTCATCTCAGCTTACTTCATACAAGATTTATACCGCCCTAATAAATAATCTCTTACTCTTCTTCAAAAAAACTATCTGGTGACTGGACATAGGCTGACTCATTAGATGTTTTTTTGTTCAATTTTTGCTCTTATGGTCTCAAATACTTCCAACTACTTGTTTCAGATGTGGCACGTCTTATGTATCAGATAAATACATAAATAAACTATTTTAATGAGCGGAAAATCGCAATTAGGAAAATCTTTCTATCAAGCGGTATGATTAGAAAAATTCAAAAACTTCTAGATTCTCGGCTGCGTGATCGGGGTCACAAAGCTCTGCAGCATCGTCGTCGCCGCTTCCTCAGCTTCCGATGAACTACAAAGTCGATCATGTCCCTGTTATCCACACACACATACTCTCAATCCCCCCCCCCCGTCTCACCCCTACAGCTGCCCTTGCCGAACCCGTGGTGGCGAGACACGAGAACGAGGAACAGCACTGCTATATGCTGAACGCCTGCATTTGTTGCATATATCCGGGGTGGGGCGGGCAAAAGCAGTGGAGGGGGGCGGGACGCGAATGCCCCCACCGCAGTAATTCTGCCCGTGACTATGAAACCGCGCAAACTGTTCGTCCATACCTCTGACATCCGAAATCATATTTCGTTTTCGTCTTTACTATTCTCGATATCGTCGAATTCGCTATCGACACTCAGGAGTATGCGTTTGCGTTTGCCCTGTTCATTAGGAGCCAATTCTACACGCTATATTTTTACCTATATTTATGTGATACTTATTGCTGGTACTACGAGCGAAACATGCTCAATAGAAGGCGCTATATGTTCGGAAAATAATGCTAGTGTATGCAGAAATGGAACGTAAGTTTTTCTTTCTATCGCTACTTTTTTACACTATGAACATTTGTTGTGTTGAGCTTTTTTTCAATCATGTAATTCGAGCAAGAGTACCCTCAAGCTTCTCCTTTTTTCTTTGTTTTTTCTCCTACCTCCCTTATCTTTCTCCAAAATCAGAGCAAAGTTTTTTCAAACCTTGTTTGCATGTCCCACTTACACGAAATCTACTGATTTTCTCTCTTTCTGCACTTGATTCGTTGCCTTACCCATTACGACGAAAATGAATAATGTTTACTTCTACGAAAAAGGTATTTTATGCATGATATTGCGTGACACTTACTCGTCTCTACTTGCTTTCCTGAGGGCCAAAACAATATGATCTCCGCTGCAGACGGGAACCCGTAACTTCGTGTGAATAGATCGTAATTTCATAAGGAACTGGGGAAGAGTACATGAGGTGAGGGCTAGCTTGAGGCTGTGGATGTACCCTGTCACAGCTCGTAAAAAGCCCTAAAAGCTCGTAAAAAGGGGAATTGATGATAGTGGGATGAGTTCAAGTTCAAGTTACCTTTGGCCACTTATTCAAGTAGGACTCAGTTAAGTAAAGAGCTGTAATGATTTTGCTTTTTATTGGCATTGACGGCGCTCGTCATCGTGATGGATGTTGGAGGCAACAGAGACTGTGTGCCGCGCCCGACAACAACCAGCAATTACCTTCGTTATTGTTTTGGCATGCGCCCCACACACTACTTTTTAATCTGCTCGCTTCTGCTTACAAATCCATCTCGTACATGCCCGAAAAAGACGACGAGAAGCGCCGAAACAGCTGATCTAGTCAAGCACACCAAGCAAGGCAAGCAGGCCGGCTCTTGTTGAATATAAACATAACTTATAGTTTCCCTAGCGAATTCGTGCTGCGCTCGCTTTTTTTTGCGCCGCGGCAACGCTCTATCATGCCCGAATTTACGACATATGAACCGCAAATGATGCCTTGGAGCCCCTAGAAACCCCTAGAAACCCCTAGAACCTATATCAGACGCATCGAATATCATCTAGTCGAGTATGCTCCGCACTTCTCGACTCGATTCGACTTGTCAACGCCATCGCACAATTCATGATTCATGCGAAACGCTAATATGCCAATTTCATGCTTGAGAACGCATTGCCATGTCGACTTTGTACTAAATATACGATAATGGGCCAAACGCTCTCTCGTCAGGAATGGGCCTCGTCAGGAATGGAGAAAAGACGGATTGTCAGGGATTATTTATATCGGTTCTATGGCTAGAGCTAGATAGGCTTTCTTTGATTCCTGGAACGAAATAGACAGCTAGTAAATGTTATATAAGGCATTTATTGGGGCCCACACAAACTAGTCAAGCATTATTTAGCGATCATTTCGCCCATCCATCGTCGTTTGCGATATTCGAGCGAGATTTCGAGGTCCTTTGGGAGCAGCAGCGGGCTTGCTCAAAATCTTCTTCCTAACCCTACTTATGGCAGTGCTGCTTCTTGTGTAGCAACGCCCTTTGCCGCGCACACATTTTTCACCCCACCCCCTCTCCCCCGCTTACACCTAATGCCCCTAAAAGCTCGCTAATTGCCCGTCTTCATGGGCTGGCAATTTTACAAAGAGCCGTACGAAGACTAAGCATCCATTTCCATATGCTAGAAGCTAGCATCTCCTAGTCTTACTGCTCAACCCAAGTGCAACAAAGCCGAGTTTTCCTGGCACGGACTCGGACTTTTCAGTGCTTAGCCAATGAAGTTCAGTTCACTTCGTCTCTCTCAAGTCGAGAACGGGAGTCGGGGATTTCCGGGGGGTGGGGTGTGAGCCACTCCAGTGACCCCCCATTATGTTGCGTATCGATCTATCCACGAAACTAAAACTCGGCTCCGCCAAACACGACCGGAGGGGATAAAGCATCCGACGGGGATGAGCTGAGGAAGTTTGAAAAATTCCAGAAAACCAGAAATAATCCTGCATTGTCATCTGCGAGCTTACAGATTGCATAAGTAAACATTACACAGCAAGAAAAGTGCAGATAAAGAGCTTTTAGATTGATGGGAGAAAAAATATTTTTTTCAGAACTCTTATGCAATTAAACTAGGTCCCTCTCCTTACTGTAGGATCGGAGAGGGCCTAGATATCAAAACTTTGTCTAAGAAAAGGGAAACGATGTAAAATCAAATTTTTTTCCCACATAAGATTCTTGATCCACTGATTCTGAAATTACATATAGGCCCTATAAATTAAAGAAAAAATACCCATTTTTTATGAAATTTTCTCGCTTCAGGTGCATATCGGCTTGTTCATTACGGGGCATGAAAGAATGTCAATGTGATGCTGAAGAAGACAATTATTGTTATCTATGCTGTGGTAATGCCGATCATCAATGTCTACCAGCTCATCATCACAATATTCTAAGGTAATTCTATACTCAAAAAGTACTTTTTTTCTCGCAATTATTCTCTGAATGTTCTCACTGAATATTTCACACCCAACTCTCTCACGTCTCCTTTTCCATTTGTGTGCTGCACTCTTGCACATTCCCAATGTCAGTTGCACTTTCTCTTCGAGAAACTTGTTAACCGCGAAAGAGGTATGCGCCAAATGAAATTCTCCACTTTCTAGTTACTATTATTATTAATTTGGCTGGCGATGCCGAGCCAGGAGAGAGATGAACGAAGCCTCTCACGTATTGAATTACTAGTCAATTCAAGTGCACTGAAGTCGAGCTGCACAGCCAGTGTGGGAAAATGCGAAACATATAGCGATAGGGATAAGGGGGAGGGGGTTGGGGACCCAAAAATTGTTCAGTTTTCTCACCTTCCCATGTAAGGGGAAAGGTATGCGCTTGTGCGCTCTGCTCGCGATTTTCCCAAGGCCAAACCTCATTTATCACCATGGAATTTTCACAAGCTGCACGAGCAATCAGAAATTCAGTGCACGTACGCTTTCCACTCTCATTAGATGTGAGAAGCAGAGCCACTCTCATTCTGGGGGGCTCGAGAAGCTCGAGAATCGACTTCTTGAGCTTCTAAGGTGTGTATGGCTGACTGGCAGAGCAAGGTGAGGTGTGTGTGTGAGTGCGAGTGAGCTGCGAATGTGTTGGCACATATCATGCGCGTCAAATGCTGCTCGCCTGACGTCCGCACGCAGGTGTTTGAGAATGTTCAAGGGGGCAAAACTAATTTGTGAGAAGGCTGCTAATAAAATTACACTCCAACAGACGTGTTCATGCGTACGATGGATGTGCCACAATGAGTTGAAGTAAGCAAGGAGGGGGGGGGGAGAGCTTCTTCTGCGCGAGATGCACGAACTCAAAAGAGTTGTTTTGCGGTCTGTCCGAGTCTGAATGTGTATTTCGAACCCCCGATGTTCCCATGATTTTTTTTTCAGGCCAAACGGGGAGCGATGGGAACGCGAAGCGTGCTCTCGATGTCGGATGCACGGCGCAGAATTGGAGGGGTTGCCTTGCGACGACACCGACTCGGCTCGGCTTTGTATCACCGGCAAATGTTCGAATTCCGTATGTCATACACGGCAACCGGGATCATTTTGCGATCGCAAGTAAGTCATATAAACTCGAAATTCCTCAAAATCCCCCAAAATCCCCAAAAATCGTTTTTTCTGCAAGCTAAAATCACTAATGGACGCATTTCTTCTATTGCAGCAGTGCACGCCATACGATGGACGTTGTTTTTGATATATGATACATCTTTTTTATTAGTCTAAAGGAAGGGGGTAACATGATCTGCGACACCCTATTTTTCTTGGGAAATGTGTTCACTCAGCTTCGTGTTATGTCCCTATCTCAATGGCACTGCATTACGCGACTAAGAAAGACGATATTATTGAAGCTTTTTTGCTTGTTAGGACTTCTGCAGACTCTGCTGAGCTTCCCGAAAAGAAAAGTATAGTAGACGTTAGCTTTGCGCCTAACTCTCACAATAAACAATCACTTACTATAATAATAATAATAATAAGTCAGTAGATTCGCTCTAGGAATCCTCATCACTTAGCGCTATTAGCGGCTTCAGGCTCGCTATACGCGCTCTCGCCATAGCAAAACATGTGTGCTCAGAATTGAGGAAATGAGGTTTCCCGTCGGGTTTTGTTGGGATTTTGCGAGAACATCGTCGTCAATGCGATTTATGCGACACCATGCCATAATTAGCCAGCATAAGATGGCTAGCCGTTCGATTTTTAGCCAAAACCAGTGGGAATAGAACGCTAGTGGATCCTCAAAACCAAATCTGCACTATCAAAATAAATTAGTTTATGATATCAGTAGAGAAAATGCGGTTTGAAAAGGCAATTAGCTGGGAAGCCAATTCTTTGTATATGCAGGGTGTCCAAAAATCGTATAAAAAGAACTATAGTTGCGGTGATTGGTCTATCGCTCTGCATTACGGTAGGATTACGGTAGGCAGTGGGAGCGCTTGGCAGAGTTTCAACCACACTATCTTCACTACACAACTTTTTACGAGTTTGTGAAACATTTGCTAAATGATCCTTTTACATTTTTGAGAATGACTAAGAGGACTGTTGTTACAGTATCCCTGGCATAACTCATAAGTGCTAAATAATCTTACTCGACACACTATTTGGGACACCCTGTAAATCCATGGATGTGCAATAGCAGCGCTATTCTGAATGTTGTCTCGAGCGGGAAGTGAAATTTTTTTTGAATGCTTTCGGGAGCATTAAATCAGACTAATAAGACTGCTTGTCTGCGGAGTTCCTACTTGTACACTAAAGATTTCAAAGAAAAATTATTTTTTGTTATAATCGCTTTTCGCGCGGAATTTTTGAGGTTTTAATTAGGGCCACATCCCAAATTTCTCACAAAAATTTGCCCAAATTTCAGAATGGAGAAGATATGCGTAGACAATACATGTGAAAACCCGTGTGCACGATTTGCTCCACATCTAATGGTTTGCGATTGTCCAGCAATCGACCAAGACACAGGATTTGCTTCTGAAGATCGCTGTCAGCTGTGTTGTTATGACTTCAATTTGGTAAGAACATTTGGTTACCTGGTTACCCAAGAAATAACCTATCTCTTCGCAACGGTTGCTTCACATGCGAAAGCACCTGGCTTAATCAAAGCGCACTTAGAATTTCTCTCAAAAAATCTACTCATTTCCCAAGTAGATTAAAATCCTAAATCTCATGAAAAATTCCCTTGTAGTCGCTACCAGAATGGCTGAGCCTAGGGGGAAAAACACAAGTATGTGATTGAAGATTTTCTTGCGAGACTCTGAAGCGATGAGCTAAATGAGAATGGAATTGGAATTGAGGATTGGGATTGGCAGAGATAGAGCTATGCATCCCCATGGCTTAACCAAGCAGCTCTATCAATCTCATGCGAAACGTGTAATTTAGGGGCAAATCGGCCGGCAATAAGCCCATGGTGGCTTTGCCCAAAAGATGATCCTCTTCTGAAATTCCCATTACTGTTTACTTATGAGATATTCTTTCAGAAACCATCAAATCGTCGATGTCAAAACGCGTATCGAAAGTACAAAGTGATGGATTTATTTCAAAAACCTATATGGAGGGTTGGTTTAGATTGTGCTGGTGGTAAAACTTGCAACAAATACGGTGTTTGTGCCAGTTGTACATTGAAGTATACCGGTCTACTTCTGCTTATTCCTTTGCTATTACGAGTATTTTGATATGAGAAAGCACTCTATATTATAAATCCGCATTTGAAGAACAAAATATACACACCTTCATCCAAGTGATCGTCGGTTTTGGTGTGCCTGAGACAGAGCAGTCAAGGACAAGTGGCCTTCCGATGATTATGGACGGGTTCACGTTTGACATGTCAAGGAATCGTGGCATTTCTGTGTGAAAATAGTTTTTCTATGTTCTCAACGTGACATTTCCTGGTTGACTTACCCAGAACCGATAGGTCAAAAGTTTTTCGCGCTTCACCAGCTTCATTTCGGGCAACACAGATGTATTTGCCAGCGTCACTTAGTCGCGCGTTGCTTATTTCGACGCGGCGGTCCATAACCTGTAAATGGAGCGCGCTTTTTCTTGTCTGCCTTTTGCAAAGATGACATATCTCATGTTGGAAAAGTTACCTCTACGGTAGGACTAAGAACTCCATTCGTCACGGGTTCCCCGTCAATGATCCATGAAACAGTAAGATTCCCCGTTCCGGACACGACCCGACAAGTGATACTCATCGTATCGCCAACGATCATGTCCAACTGCTCAGCGCCTTGGTCGATCACTGGTGGACCTGTGTAAAAAAATTTTTTGAATCAAATGCGGATTTTTACATAAATTTTATGCCTTCATTCCCGACTCTCTCACTTCTCAGTTGCCTTACATGGGTTTCTTGAAGAATTCATTTTTACAGAATTCTTCAGTTTTATTCTTTTTTGTATTTCGCTTCTCTCAAAGTGCTTACCACGTACCTGTTAAACGCACGACAAAGTCTCTAGTCGCATTTCCTGCTTTGTTACTTGCATGACAAGTATATTTGCCAGCAGCCTGCCCATCAACTTTCGTGATAACCACTGTTTCTTTCTGATTTATTATCTTATATGACTCTCCATCTTCGATAGGGACATCATCACGAGTCCAACTGATCTGAAAACACATCTACTTTCAAACAAGTTCTCAAATGAACCTAGGCCATTATATTTATTTTGTGAAAAAAGAAAATGCTCAGATTATGCAACGTTTTTGTGGCTTGCAATCCATGACTTAATACATAAGGTGTGTCATTTTATATCTCCGAGTGATCTCATCATTTTCCGGTCAATTATATGTATGATTGTTTCCCTCGATGAGCTCATAATGTATTCAAGACACTAGCCTTCATCAATGGTAAACAACGCTCATAAAGTTTTCTTTTCCTTCTTTTTTGTTCTTGTTCTGAGATATATCTTTTTCCCCTCACTGTGCCATCATTTGCTCGTTTTTTATTGCAAATGAAGCTGTTTGCAGCTGTGCTCGACAGCATACTCCCACTAATTGTTACGAATAACAAAGGGGCTATTTGAAATGGTTATGAACCTGATTGCTTATTGCTTACGAATTTCCGCTCTAGCAAAAAACGGCAATAAATTATCCGCCGTACACTGATGGCAAAACACGCTGACAGCTGAGATGAATTTACAGGACTAGGCATGGGGTAAAAAAATGAAAAAAAAAGCCTAAATGCACCTCTGGAAACGGATCACCGTCAACGATGCAGTCAAGACTGAGACGAGTTCCGGGAATGACATTCTGAAGCGATTCCGATGAGCTCAATTCGTTGATGGATGGAGGCACTAAAGTCAAAACGATTTTCACCTATTTCATACCATTTTTCAAGATCATAAATTCTCCGAAAAATTCACCCACCAAGCACTTTCAAATCGAATGTCTTTCTCGCTTCTCCAGCTGCGTTTCGAACAATACATGTGTACCTTAAACGTTCACATAATTACGATCTTTATGAATGCACTCTGACGCATAAACGACGGGCTTCACGCAAATTCTAAAGACCCTATAGAATTCACGTCGCCAAACACACAACCAACAACGCTAGGTTCTTTGAATACTATACAAAGAAAGAGCATTGAATCTGAATTCCACAAACAATTCCGGAGGACTTTTGGGCGTTGTGTTCTTTGGCCGTAAATGGGGGGTCAAAATGGCTGAGAGCAATACTTTGATTCTTTTGAATTTCTGAGTCATACAAAGAAAGGAAGGAAGTGATAAAATTAAGCCATACCTTCCAGTATCTGTTGTACGAGCGGAAAGGATGTGAAGACGTCTACCAGATGAGGGAATCTGTAGAAAAGTTTATATTTTATCTTCTGTCATGACATACAAAAAGATTTGGGTATGAAAATATTGAACACATATATTTATCTCAACTTTTGCTAGGCGAGTCAATAAAGTAAGCCATTAGGTTGGAACATGATTTTTACACCAAAAATCTAGGAAAATCCGTAACTTCAAATTCAATAAATCTATTCGATACAGTATAAGATTAAAAGTGAAAGTTATGCGGTTTCTATAAGTGTTCAAAACAAAAACTTTTGTTATATGCAACGGCGGTAAAGGTTTATGAACGCAAACTCTCGAATTTAATTTTTCTTTAAATTTCCGATTGATAAGATGCTGAAAGGTTCAACCTTTAAATCAATTTTAAAACAAGTTTTATGACCTGCTCTTGTTACTGAGATAAATTTATGCTTATAGGACCTTTCTAGAAAAATTTGATTTTCGAATTTCTTTTTTCGAATTTTGATATGAATCTTTTGAACCTTTTTAGTGCCATTTATGTTGCAACCTAGTAGATCTTTTTTTTTGAATTTTTTCTACAAAAAGCGTAGTAGTAAAAACTTCAGATTTTTTGCTCGTTTATTATTATCTTAGCGATTTAGCAAGTAATCTTCATCTTCTAGTTTTTCCATCTCGTACACATAAGCATCTACTATAGAATGCGAATGGATGATTTGCGCCGAAAAGTGTGGCGAGAGTTCTTGCCTACTCTTCAACCCGAGCCGCGTTTGCACTTCACAACTGAATGGAGTGCTCAGAAGCTGTGGAGAATTCTCGAATATTCTACGGTTAGACACCAACCCCCCCCCCCCCAAAAAAAATTTATGCCAACCTGTAGATAGCTGTCATCACGTAGAGTTTGTTGAGTGATTGTTTGCCCAGCTTTCTGCCATTCAATATCCACAGGCGAATCGGTTTGATTTAGCTGGAATAAGTAAACTTATGAGGGCAGAATTATTGGAGATTACGGTAGAGCTCCCAGTTTTCAAGGGAAGAACGGACTAGGACAGAATTTTCCGTCGCGACGTGATTATCGTGACAAATCGTCGCAGGGCGTCAAATTTGCCCAAAGATGAGCAGGAAACTTACTTCACAAATCAGATCTTGTTGGAAATTTTCGATCACTTCAAGTTTTTCATGTTTATCCCCAAGAATAGTTGGCACAGCCACTACATCCAGAGTCGTTTCTAAATCGTCCGAGCCGACAGCATTTGTTGCTATGCAAGTATATCTGCAAAAAAATGAACATTTCCAAATTGCTTTGGCTCGTGGCATTTGTTTGCGATGCGGGTAAAAAAGCTTTACACAAAATTTATCTAAAAAAATGTCTATTATTTCTTCATTTCAATTTTAAAAAGGCATAATATCCTTGGGAAATAAGCATTTATCTTTCAAACAATTCGAAGCTCAGCTCGATGGTTTTCGTTCGCATAAACATAATGGCTGATAATCTCCGCACGATGATGGGTCAAATCCATCATGCTTATTCACCGAAATGAACACACGATGTCCGTGTTCTTAAGAAGGGGGGCTCAATAAAATCGCCCATCTTGAGGATTAGATTCACCAACGCAACTTGCTCACAAATTTAATGCCATTTCCTATTTGCTAGCGGAAATAAGTCGAAGTTTCTCTGAAGCAGTGGCAATTTATCTGTGAAAAATCTAATTATCAGCGTTGACGACGAACAAATTAGTCGTTAGCCGTTGCACTCGGCAAACTTTTACTTCAATGCTTTGAAATTTAAAGAACAGTAAATTGGTACTAGAAAAAGCAAGTTGTTTTGAATGTTGCTGCTAACTATTTACTGAAAAGAAAGGTCGTAATTTGCATGTTGAACCATGTCTATATGAGTAAATGAAGTTTACTGCACCATAACTAGTTAGCCGGACAAGAATGGCTAGCGGCCACTAAAAACGAAGTTATGTCAAAAAATATCATAGCCATTTCTAGTTCAGTCCGCTTTGAACTGGGTTATAAATGTAAGTTTTGAAAGAAATGAACCGTTAATCGTGTTAAAACGGTTTCAAATGTTAATATGAATTTCCAACATTTTCTACGACTATCCTGCTAGAAAAAGGTAATCTAAATTTAATATTGACTGATAAATATACTTATAATTCTTCCCACAGTAAGCACGAAGATCCTGTACTCCGTTAAAGAGATAGAAATAAGATTCAATATCAATTTTCAGAGCAATTCTATCGAATAGAAACGCAAGATTTCTTCGTTTCCGTTCATCGATATTTGGAATTACGAAGGAAATGTAGAATATGATAGAATTTGATGAGAAGTTCCTTGATTTTTATCTAATGGAACGAAATCTACACTATCTCCAAAGTCCTTCTATGTTGATATCTGGGCATATGATAGATAAAAAACCTGTACAGCTCAGAACAAATGGATTTACAATTTTTGTTCGATCTTTAATTGTATTTCTTTTATTTGTATCAATTCAAACAACAACTCCCTTGAGAACTTTCGTAATCATCCCGATTTTCCCCTCCTGTCCTACACCTGCCAGCTATAAGAGGATAAATCTAGTGCGGAGAAGATTTGATGAGCTTGCATCTCATGATAAATAAGTACACATCTCAAGCCTGATGATGACACGTAAATCGTCTGACATGCTCTTGTCAGATTGGTAAGATTAGATTGTGATTCACCCTCTGTTTCGCTATATAGGAAGGGATCGATCCTAGAAAAATGTAATATGGAAAAATCCGGATAAATAAGGCGTTTTTTAAGCTTGAGAAGTACACCACAAATCACTCTACAGCAATTACTCATTAACAACCTCCCTAAAAAAACGAATTCTTCGGCCTTCAGCGATCTTTCATTTTGAACAAAAAACTACTACAAGGCCATTCGTAGACGATCTATCCTCTAAGAGGATGTAAAAATTTGAAATGAACGTCACCTGGCTTTGTCTTCGAGCTGAGAGTTGCTGATTTGTAGCTGACGTCCGCCGTCTAAGAACACATGTCGAGCTGATGGTAATAGTGTCTGACCGTCACGTAACCTGGAACATATGATATGAAAGAAACAGTATTATAATTACAAAATTTAGAATTTGATTAGCAAATTTTTTTTATTAAAACGCCAAATTTCAAGGATAATTTTGGTCCATCAGGTTGTGTTTCAAGTGCAAAAACACTAAGGATCAGAAAGAGAAAGCCTGTGTCTGACTTTTATTCAAACTTCAGATTGTTAATAATTTTAGCCGCAGCAAAACAAATCCCGACAAAAGTGGCGGTACGTTTACACCACGAAAACATCAAGTAAAAACTTTGGTACTCAATGAACTCAATGCAGAGAGATTTATTGCAAATGATATTGCGGTAAAAATTCCACTGCAGCAAGATTTTTGCATTTTTGAGTATATTTACAAAGTTCGATGTCCTCGAGATATTTATGCTAACATTTTTGAACTTATCACCGATGTTTTAATTTTTGAACTTGTCATTGATGTTTTTATCAAAATAAAAAGTTCAGTGTGCTAATAAAAAGTACAACAATAAAGCTTGAGATTTATAGCATAGACTACATTTGTATTACATCTGTACTAACAACCTTTCCTGTTTGTCATGCGCTAGTTCACAAATGAGAAGTTCAAATTGTTGGTAATTGATCTCTCCAAGTGGAAATATGAATTTCAATCAAAAAACCAAGAGATTACAATAATTATGCATACTCGATATTCTCTCTTTTTGAGCTTTCAATCTTAGTGTAGATCAACTACTTGGACATAATTTTCTACATAAAAGTCCTCGTCAACCCACCATGTAATAGCCGGTAGGGGTGATCCAGTAGCTGGACATGTAAGGATCGAAGGCCTTCCAGCGTTAACCTGGACTCGTCGAACAAGGTTTGGACCTTCAAAGGATGGAGCCTCTGAAAAAGAATGTAATTGCAACGGGAGATCGTATGGATTGTGCAGGACCAACCTAGCAATTTCACGTTAAAGTCTCTCTTGTCTTCACCAGCGGGATTTTTGGCTACACAAGTGTACCTAGAAAAATATGACCACATACATATATTGCCACGAGAAGTCGTGTTTAGGTAAATTTGAGTATCCAGGCTTGCTATGTAAATACCGAGCTATATAAGTCATTGCTGAAACGGCAGCTCATATAATCTACGGACAATCGGTTAATTCACGTTTGAATTCTCGCCCAGACCGTCCTAGCACAGCCGGCCATCGATGCGAATACTGGGCGTTTATTAACGATTTTTTTTGCCCAGAAACCAATCATATAAGGTAGCTTGAACTTGGTGAGGCAAAAATTTGGCATATACGTGGGATTTTTGTTAAGCTAACCCGGAATACCTTACCTTCCGGCATCTTCCTTGCTCAAACTGAGAAAATAGAGCTTCTGCCCGTTAGCAGAAGTTTTCACGTTCTGTTGATGCGGGTCCAAGGGTCGACCAGCCTTAACGATCATTTTACAAGATTGCCATAATGATACACACCATCAAAATCTCATCTTAGGAGGATTACTGTACCTTCAGCCAAGTGACCGCTGGTATTGGTTTTCCATGTACTGGACAAGATAGCGTAACAGTTCGATCTGCTACTTCTTCAATATCACTCAGGATTCCCTCTTTTTCGATACGAGGTGGTGCTAAAACAAGATTCGAATATTCAATTATAATGTTTTACATTCAGGGGAAAAAGGAACTGACTCATGACATTTACGATCACATCCTGTTCGGAAGTTCCTGCTTTATTGGAAGCCTCACAAGTGAATCTTCCTGTATCATGCTGCTGTAATCAGCAAGCATATTTCCAGTCAAGTAATAGTTAGTAGGGGCCTTTTTGCACACATATAGTAAGCTACCGTACTCTCGCGCGCTCAGAGGCAAAAGTGGAAAGATTTATCGTCCACGTGCGCTGAAAGGTGTGACGGAACAACGTTTTATTTTATTCTACGCTCTACCGGAAGTACGGTAGGAAATTGTGGAGGTGCAAAACGGCCGTGTATAGTTCCAGAAATTGCTCACCTTGATCCTAGCAATTTTTATTTCGCTTCCAACCATTTGCGCTGACTTAATCACACTGCTAATGTTATCAGGGTGAAGCACTTCTCCATCTTTTTGCCAAGTAATTTTTGGTTCTGGTTTTCCTGTCGCTGGACACGATAATGTGACTGAACTATCTTCGGTAACTGATCTGGAAAAGTTGGATTCATCTATAACTTACAAAATTTTGGGTTTCTCAAAAGTAGTGCCCTAGCAAATTGAATATTTAGACTCTACTTGATTGATTAGAGCCATTAGTTACTTCATTGGCCAAGCCGCAACTCAGATAAGCCATTCGTGTCAATAAAATTAACTCTAAACTCTCGCCTACACCGTACACCGACCGGAGAAGCAGCGCCTGCGAGTACGGTACTGGGCGAGAGTTTGGAGTCGAATATCTCGGCCACGAATGAACTACATGAGTTGCCACTTGGGCAAGTGCTTAGCTAAGGTTCTTTGATCAGTTTTCACATAAGAAACAAAGAGGTCCATATTTGGACAAAACCGCCCTTTAAGCTATCGCCTCAGCATGCACACCTGTTTTTGTCTTTATCTAGCATGATAATGCTTGGTGGTACAAGAACCACAAGTTTGTAGTCAACACGCGTTTCGCCCGCATCATTCTTGATTCGACAACTGTAGGCCCCCTCATCTGACAGTGTGACACTAAAACACACGATTGTATCAAATAAAAATAGATTTGTTGCTCAAACAAACTTCTGAACATTCAGTCGTTTATCGCCGTGCCCACGAGAGTATCGCGGATTGTTCATAGGAACTGGCTTGAAGTCGTATAGCCTAAATTCGAGGTACTCAGTGCAAGGTAATTATTTCACGTTCATGCTACAGGGTTGCAAATCAGATTCTGAAGAAAGAGGAAGTTAAAATTATGGAAATTCGAATTGATATACAGCGGCTTGCATGTATTTTCATTGTCACCAAATCTAGAGTTGAACTGCATTCTCACATTCACATTCATTCATTCATACACTCAAATGCACCTTGAAGCATCAAGGTGCAATTGAGTGTATCCCAATTTTTGTGTCACACAAAAACATTTTTCGCAAAATTGCACCAAGGCTGCAAACGGCTCAAGTGTCTCGGCGTTTTCCAAATATGGGGAGATCGCTTCGTTTGTGAAAACGAAAAAAGGCCCTCAACGAAAACAAGAAATGCAGAATCTTTTAAGAAAGTTGGTGGAAAAATGCGATAGCGATTTGGCAGAAAATCCGTAATGACTTTCAAGACAGTAGAGTTATTAGGGATCAGATAACACGTTTCACTATCGCCACAACTTTACTTCACATCTGCAAGTTGACAAGACATTTCGTGGCCGGACCATGTCTGCCCTCTCCTCATTCTCTTTAATCTCTGGCTTATCACACTCATGTGACCCATTGCCGTGCAGTGCGCCTGGACAGGGCAGACAGACGCCTGCCTGCGCTTGCTTTGTGACCGGTAACAGAATGTATATCCATAGAAAGACTTGGTGCTGACAGCAGAAAGTTGCATATTTTAGAATTATGCAATAAAGGAATAGTTTTCTTCTTCGCAATCGTAATTTCATGATTCATCCTACGGATGTTCTGAGTCAAGACATTCTTAGTCACAAAAGCAATTTCTTATTCGACATTCATTTGTCTTACCAGAAAACAGTGTATTCTCTTGCCGAATTGCACTCGTTGCGTTTCTATCCTAATTTCTTTGGATTTATTTCCACAATCTATAAACAAGTTTTTTCAAGGAATTTTCCATGCTATTGTTTCAGAGACAAACTTCACTTTTTGCATTCTACTTGTTGTTGTTTTTATGTAAAGTATAGCATAAAACTCTCGTTAGCACTGAGTGCTTACCACGTGACATGTCCCTTGAAGTTCTTTTCCGCAATCGGGCAACGGAAATGTGCTATACCGCCTTCAAATACTTCCACCGTGTCCTTAATTCCACGCAAAACAGCAGGGCGAGCTGTAAAATAAATTAAAAAAGTTCGCTTTTTAGCGGAGTAGAGAAAATCCAAATACATACTGATGATATCCACATCAAAATTGATCTCGGCACTTCCAACATCGTTCTTTGCGTGGCAAGCGTAGGATCCACGATGAACTAAGAATAGTCCGTATAAGAGAAGTTCTGACAGTTTTCGAAGAATCTAACTTGTCTCAGCATGGCTAATTTTGAACTGCTGTCCTTCGGATAAAGTCTTGACTGATTTGAGGCTACTAACTGGTTGTCCATCCTGAAAAACTAGCATAAATGATTCTCAGCGTGTTCACGATAGCTCATGTGCCGGCGTTGTGCCAACGCCGTTCCAACGCCGTGCCGGAACTACTGATTAATCTAGGCGCTAGTCCGGCGCTGTAACGGTGCTGGCATAAGCAACTTTGCGGACCCTTGTAGGTAGAGTAGAATAAAACATAGATCAAGGGCTCAAACCTTAGTCCAAACGATAACTGGCTTGGGACTTCCCTCTACTTCACAAGGCAATACAAGAGAATTGTTTTCGATTACAGTATATTCGCCACCTTCATTCAGTATAGATGGTGGAACTGAAATCGAAATTCGTATTTTTCTGTAACCCGCACAGTGGCTGAATAAATCACGAACCTTGGACTAGCAATTTATATGTTTTTGTCGTTTCTCCAGCCGGATTTCTAGCTGTACACGAAAATGTTCCTTCGTCATTTATTTGTACAGCGGGTATGAAGAGATGACGTCCTCCGGATAGAATCTAAAGGATTAACAGATTTTTACAAGTTTTCAGTAATGAAAAATTCTCAATTTTTTTACCTGAACGTTGTCTACACCATTAGCAGCTGGTAATTGATGGCGGGACCATGTCAGTTCTACACCAATCGGATCTTTGATGGGACATTCAAAGGTCACAGGTCGGGTGATATTGACCTAAAAATTTGTTCAGAGCTCGCGCAAACCATATTACTTTTGGCCTACCTTCACGATGGTGATCTCATCACTGCTTTCGAGGTCAGGTTTCTGGACAACTCGAACGTTGAAGGTCTTTTCGGCTGAACCAGCCTTGTTTGATAATGCACAGCGGAAGACTCCAGCACTATTTCGTGTCACTCCACTCATTGCCAAGGTGTGGTCTCCATTAAGCAGCTGAAAGAAGGATTTTTTCTGGCAAATTGATTTCAAAATAGTGAGATCTCGAGAATTGCCGAAGATGAGCTGATCTGACTCATATATGGCCGAAAAATGCATCTTTGAACTCTCGTCCACTACCGTACCTGCGCTGATTGGCCGCCTCGAACGAGCACGGTCTGGGCGAGAGTTTGGATAGGATTTTTTCGACCGCGAATAAATCATATTAGTTTCCACTTAAGCAATTTCTTCCAAAATATTATACCTGAGCAGTTCTTGGTAGAGAATCCCCATCCTTAGTCCACTGTACAACAGGTTCAGGACTTGCATCGAAATCACAATCCAAAGTCATCTCGTAACCTTCCACGACTTCCACATCTTCCACCAATGATCCTTTGATATGCGGAGCAACTAAACAAAAGCTTTGGACACCAGTTTTTCCCAAAACAAAATCATTTTACTCACTCAACACTACAACTTCAAAATCTCGCGCAGCTTCACCAGCACTATTCTTTGCTATGCACGTAAAAGTGTCTTCGTGATCTTTTTGTGCATTTACCAACATCAAAGTGCTTTTATCCACGGTGAATATTCCCTCAGACTCCTTAAAATCATTCTTACAATACGAGACAATATAGAGAAAATTGGAAAGACCTCGATGGTTCGTCCTTGTCTTCTCCAGGTTATATCCACATCTCCTCCAACAACAGGACATTGAAGCATTGCTGTTTGTCCTTCGGTGACTTCTACGATGGTACGGTCACCGGCATCTTTTATTGTTGGTGGGGCAACGCTCTGAAAAGTAAGAGTTTATTAGGGGCTGTAGGTGTGGCGCGAGCGGTCAATCGACCAATCGCGTCGTAGGATGTGTGGAATTGAGTATCTGCCGAATTTATTCTTAGAAGCTGTAAAACAGCAGTAGGGCAGCGGATTACAGCTCTAATTTGGCCTTTCTGGCTGAGCCCATCGTTGTGCTTCATAGTTTTCAGGATGAAAAGTCGCTCGACTTAGAGAATGCTAAATGGGTGTGAGGCGAGCGGCCAATCGACCAATCACGTCGCTAAGATGTCCGAGGTCTGAGTGTCTGCTAAGTGTTACTCTTAGAGGCTGTAGATTACAATTTTGGACTCAGCTAGGAATCTGCAAGCTTAAAATTTGCCAAATTTCTCTTCCAAGTGTTACAATAGAATATTTTTGCCTACTTGAACGAAGAAATCTCTCGCAACCGAACCAGCTTTGTTCGACACAAGACATGTGAAACGATGTGTTGTCATTCCTTGCGAATCCATAGTCAAACGTTGCCCGTTATCACTGAAACTTTCGATTTAAATGTAGGTGACTCTTTATTCTTTATTTTTTACCTGAACACATTGTCTGTGATAGTTTGACCATCCTTTCTCCATTCAATGAGTGGCTGGGGATGGCCTTTCACGAGGCAGGCTAAGCTTAGCGGTGAACCGCTTATTACTCGAACATTTTGATCAAATTGTTTTTCGATGAATTCGGGAGGTTCTGAAGCAAACTTTATTCATAGCTATCAGGAAAAAACAACAACTTTCAATAAAAATAATAATTAAATAGAACTTACCCAGTACTGTGACATGTATGTTCTTCCGACTTTCCCCAGCCGAATTTCGAACAATGCAAGTATAAGTTCCTGCATTTGATGGAGCTGTATCAACGAGAAATACTCGCTGGCCATCGAATGGTACTTGAACGTTTGGCGGCAAAGTTTCCGAGTTGTTCTAAATATCATAATTTAGTGCAGAGGAACCCAAAACATTTTTGATCCGTGTGTTTGCGCGATGCATTTAAGCCTTTTTGATTTTATAATGGCAATAGAAAATGTAGAAGAGTACTAAGTATTGCTCTCTCCGAATAAACAATGGAAAAGAAAATGAAGGCTTTTCTAGGCAAGTTTGGAACCTTTAGTATTTGGATTCTGGTCTCGGGATTTTGAAAGAGGCTGAAGAAACTCATGGTGGCCCAGAAATTCAACTCTAAAATTTTGCACAGTACAGTAGGGAGCGCTAATCTGCTTGGAGGTTACGGTCTGGGCGAGGGTCGAACTCCCCATCTTGACCAGATTTTGTGCTACTTGGCCAGTGACTCAAGGCTTTCCAAACGGTATTCACATAAGATGCCCGGTATCCACTACAGACTCAAATAAGCAGTCTATAAACTGTTTATCGGTTTTCTTTCTGCTCCCTAAAATTATATTCTGTATCCTTCACGTTCGAAGCCCCTTTCACAGAACACCAGTTTTTTTCTTCTCGCAAGAATTGCAAGGCACTCAACATAAGCTTTTCGCCGATGCGATTACATCAAGCCCTAACTAATCCTCATTTTCATAATGGACATGTAAGTCAGTCTTGTGTCATCCTAGCAGATTTCTCATCTTTTTGACCTTTCCAGATTGGAAGATTTCATTAAGGCTTGCGGGGTACTCGCAACAGAAAGTGGAAGAAACATGGTTGTTGGAAATGGATGATATAAGAAAATCTATGAATTAGCCATTGCTCTCGATGATAAGAGGGTTCTAGTTTCACAGAAATCCCAGCTAAAAGCAGTAGTTATCAGAACCTTGAGGACTTTGCTTCAAGAGATTTGAGTAAGACGTTTCACAGCCTGTTTATTCTTATAAAACCAAAGACGGCTCAATGTCCATGCAGGCCATTTGAAGTTCATCATCAAAATCACTTACTGAAGGCAAAATTTACACCTGAAAATTTAAAGAGGAAAGTATAGTTTAGAAAACTAATTTCTAATTTATTCGTTGCCCAAGCAGCAGCTTATACAATTTATTCTTGGCCGAAATATTCAATTTCAACGCCCAAACCAGACCGTAGTCTTTTCAAATGAATCTTAGGGTCTGCTTCTTAAGCAACTGTTTAGTAAGTAACCAGGCATTCCACAACGAGAAACGGGTTTGTCGACCCTGCCTTTGCGCGTGAACGGGAGAATATGACAAGTACTCTGCGTTGATACCACTGCTT